GACTACTCCTTCAGAGAAGGCAGGCATGATTTTCTTTTTGTAATGGCTACCGTGAGGAAATGTGTGCGTTCCAAAACTCTCTCTGAAAAACAGATATTATTCTCTGTGCCAAAATAAAATAGTGCAACATTTTGGCTCATTAAAAAAATAATGTTCTCGGGGCACCTGGGTGGCTCAGTTGGTTAAGTGTCTGACTCTTGATTTCGGCTCAGGACATGATCTCAGGGCTGTGGGATGGAGCCCCACATCAGGTTTCATGGTAGGTGTGGAGCCTGCTTAAGATTCTCTCTCTCCTTCCTCCTCTGCCCCTCCCTGCCTCCCTTAAAAAAAAAAAAAAGTTCTCATGTTTCCCATGTTCTTGCTGAAAGAGCTGGGTATTACTGTTGGTAGACAGACTGTGTTCACTTAATTACATACCAGAAAGGAACTAAACACAAAGGACAACAACAAAACGGGTAAAGCAAAGTTGAATGAAAGAAGGGATAAACAAAATAACCTTGTCTGCATCCACTTCAAAGACAGGCCAAATGACTCTCTGCTGTCAGAACGCAGGATAATGATTTATGTTGAGGAGGCGAAGGTGGAGATCAGCAACGGCATAGGGGCCCTTCTGGGACTCTGCTAATGTTCCCTGTCTCATGTGATGGCTAGTTACACAGGTGTGCTGTTCCTATTCAAGCTATAAACTATGCATTTTTATTTATTTACCAATGAATAATTGAAACACACAAAACTAAGGTGTAGAGATTTTAAATGTGCAAAGATTAGCTCTAAAAAGGTGTTTTTCATGGAAGAAATGCTTTACTTACATCTATTTTACAAGAATTGGGTCAGAGCAGTGGAGAAGCATCTATCCGGAGGGACCTTGAAGCCTACCATCTTTCAAAAGTACAGCGTGGAGAGAAGTAATTGCCATTAGCTCGGAGAAGGTAAGGTCAGAGATGTTCAATCAGCTGAGCTGAGGACACCACAGCGGCTCAAATCAGACGATTCTATAGCCAGGCAAGACCTGAGGTGTTTCCAGACTGCTGGTTTTCTTGGCTTAAAAATGAAATACTTTACTTTCCCCTACTCTTACGATTTTATAAGTTGGATCTGCTGAATTTCAGAAGCTTAAACTTTCATATCTTTAGAGGCTAACAGTTTTAAAATTTCTGACTAAAATGATAATTGCCTTGAACTATCTCAAGATGGGAGTAAAATGCATTCAAATGTATAAATGCAAATTCAGAAAATAAGACCACTTTGTGTTAAAAATATTCAAATTCTTTGACCCAAATTCCATTTCTATTTTTCTAAATAATCATAGATAAACAAAGACTTATGGGAAAATATTTTGAACGGTTATTTTTAAAAGCAAAAAGTTATAAAATATCTTATATTGAACCATAGAGTCATAAATATGTCCCATCCATAGCAAGAACAATTATATGTATTGTGAAATCATGCTTTTGAAGAGTTACTGATGTGGTAAAATGTTACAGAATATTTAATAAAGAGCAGGACATAAAATTGATGTAGAAAGGACTTATTGTTTAAAGAATTAAGCAAAACCATATTTGTAAAAATATAAAAATATTGGAAGTGCTCATCTCTGTAGCAAAAACCTATGCATAGTTTCTTCCAAAAGCTTTTTTATATTTTCCAAAATAAACATCCATTAATTTTTAAAATTAACAAGGTATTGCATGTTCTTTCTAAAGAAATTCAAGTATACAGAGTAAAAAGAAAATTCTCCTTCTCCTTCTTCCAGCTCTGCCCAACTAATGGAGAAATAACAAATATTAGAAAACATCATTCCCTTTCTATGTATTTGTAAAGGTACATTATATAAACACAGCTTTATATAATTTTCCCCTTAATGGGGAAAATATTCTTTTTAACTTGTATTTTCCTTTAATGATATATTATGAACAACTTTGTCAGTCTACCTTAGTCCCTGATATGGATTTATCATAATTTACTAGTTCCTTTCTCAGACATCTTATTTTATTTTTTTAAGATTTATTTGAGAGAGAGAGAGCATGGGGGAAGGAGAGGGAGATAATATGCAAACGGATTCCTGCTGAGCACGAGCCTAACGCAGGATGGGTTCGATCCTATGACCCATGAGATAAAGACCTGAGCTGAAACCAAGAGTCAGATGCTTAACCGACTGAGCCACCCAGGCGCCACCTCTCAGACATTTACACACAGACATTTTAAGAATGTCTCAGTTCATTCCAGTTTCATTATTTTCTTTTTAAAAAGATTTTATTTATTTGACACAGAGAGACACAGAGAGGGAACACAAGCAGGGGCAGTGGGAGAGGGAGAAGAAGCAGGCTTCCCGCAGAGCAGGGAGCCCGACGTGGGGCTCGATTCCAGGACCCTGAGATCATGACCTGAGCCGAAGGCAGACGCTTAACGACTGAGCCACCCACAAGTCCCGTTCCAGTTTCATTATTAATAGAATGATCACTGCACAAATGTCTGTGGGTACACCTACGGGATGGATTCCAGAGCGGAAGTGCTGAGTCAAAGGATATGCATTTTTTTAAGTGTTAATATTTATTGCCAAATTTTAACTCTAAAGGCCATGTGCGAAAGGAAAGAACCCATTTTCTTTTCCACACAGACCATTGCTGATTATTGGTTTTAGGAATTTTTTCCAACACAGTAAGTAAAATATTTTATCTTATTATTTTGCACATCTCTGATTAACAGTAGGATTAGGCATCTAGACTTTTCATACTTTGCACTTTCTCAATTTTTTATTGATTTATAGATGCTATTTATGCTGTATTGTTAATTCTATTATTTTTATAAAAAACATTTTCATCTAATCTTTTGAAACTCTACTGATCCCACATACATTTAGTGTTCCTTACTCATGTATGACTGTTTCAATATGGAAAAAGTTTTGACATTTTATAATCAGATTTTTTGGGGGGGGCTTTGTGTTATGCTTTTTCTATGCCTGTTATAAAGGTATTTCCTACATTTTCTTTTAGTGCTTTCATTGTTTTGTTTTAACATTAAATAAAGATTTGTGATCTATCCAGAAACTTTTCAGTTTTAAAAATACTTAAGATGCTTTTTTATTTGAGTATAATTGACACACATACAGTATTACATTCTTTCAGGTGTACAGTATGATTCAACTCAATACATTATTATACTATGCTCACCACAGTGTGCCTACCATCTGTCACCATATGCTATTACAATACCATTGACTGTATTCCCTATGTTGTACCTTTTATTCCCATGACTTACTCATTCCATAAGTGGAAGCCTGTATTTCCCACGCCCCTTCACCCATCCCCCACCCACTGGCAACCATGTTTGTTCTTTGTATTTATGGGTCTGTTTCTTCTTTTTCTTGGTTCATTTGTTTTGTTTTTTAGATTCCACATATTAGTGAAATCATATGGTACTTGTCTTTGTTAGTTTACTTAGCTTAATAATTTCTAGGTCCATTCATGTTGTCACAAATGGCAAATATATAAATATATATACCATATCTTCTTTGTTGATGCAGGAAGTCTTTGCTATTTGAGCATTTACCCCCTCCATGCTTGCTTACCTTAAAATCACTATCTCAAATTCTGTTAATTCCTTTTGGGAAAAATATTCTGTGCTAAAAAATGTTAGGTATTTAATATTCTAACATTGCTACATTTTATAATTTAGAAAATTGATCTTCTGATGTCTCCAGATTTTATTCAATAAAACTGCTAGTTTAAAAAAACCACTTGCTTGAACTGTAATTCATTTTCACTAATTTGACAGAAGAAAATGAAATAATAATATTTTCATTAATTTGACAGCAAAACACAGGGGAGAAAGAGTATAGGTGTGGGACTCAGAAGCTGGGTCTTTAGTTCCATCTTGGACACTTAACTTTAAGGCCTTGGACAACTCTGTGCCTTTCTAGGTCTCAGTGTGGTCACCTTTGATATAGTGGGAACAAAGCCAAATATTCTCTAACACGCTTTTTATTCGAGATCCCCTAAAATGAAAGGGGAAATTGTCTTACACATTGATGTATAAAATTAAACATCACATATATAAAATAAGACATAAAAATTGACAAAATTTTTATTACAAATTCCATTTTCAAAATTTTACCTTTAATAAATCTATTTTGTCAAAATATCAGATACATATTTAACTTAATCCACTTCTGAAATATGCCATGTATCCTAATTGGCAATCAGCACTTACCAAATTAGATGGCCAAATTTATGTTCCAACTAAAATTTTTCATTTTTTTCCATTCAAATAAACACATTAGCGTGAAGTCTAGGATGTGGCTACCACTTCATAATTCTAATTTTTAGCTAGATGAAAGGGTAGCTAAATAATGGAGGCTTGTCATGTATCAATGGCCTGGAAGGTATCAGACTCTTCTCTCTTCAGGTTCCTGCTTTCCCCTCACAGGACTATTCTAGAAGAATGACGCATTCTAGAATTGTCCCCTTTGTTTAGTTCCAGGTGGTTTCCATCCCAGGGTACCATAACAGGATGAGGAGTTAATATTTTCTTTTATAAGAGGGGCAGTGCTCAGCAGAACTTCAAGAAAGAAGACACATGTACATCCAGCGGTATTCTAATCACTTCAAGGTGCTGTAAAGCTCTTTATTCCTGGCTTAGTTATTCTGTCCTTACTATTTCCTGTGTAATGAAAATGACATTCTCACATACAGATGATTTTTCAAAAGGATCTATTCAAATTGATATTTCTCTGTCCATTGTTGGGAGAGAGAACTTGAATACTCTAATGGGAAGAAAGGAATTAATCAAAGGCTGAGTGTTTAAAGCAATCCATCATGTTACAGATTTAAGAATGTGATTAAGTCATAGGGAAAAGATTTCCTTTTCTTCCTGAGGACACATAGGTAACCAGAAAACTGTCTTTTGTTACAGGATGATGACATGACAGTGATAAAGTTCTTTATATACTTCACTTGCTGAATGTTGTTTGCCATGCATCCTCCTTGTTTCAACTCTTACTCAGAGAAAATGTTTGTCTTGGAGATAACCATTGTCCTAATAGCAACAGGGGCAGTCCTTAAGTTTTTCAAGAGTTAAGAAAGAAGCTTGTAATAAACTATAAGCTTTCGCAATAAGTAAGATGCTTCATTGTTATTACTGAGGACAAGATAAAGACTAAACTCACCTAGTGATAAACATAAACAAAGATCTACATACATATGTACATCAATTAGCTCTCCTCCAAACAGGGAAGAAATAGTGCTGAGGAAAACATGATAAGTGTGGAACTATAAATTTACATATCTAATAATTATCAATACTATCAATTCATGGTATTAGTGCTAATGTGCATGTATTTTGGGTCGATTTCTATTTCAGTATGAAGACAAGTGAAATGTGCTACTTAATGATGGTAAAAGGAACAGGGTTGTTCCTATAGATGACAAGAAATGTAAACATTCACAATGTTGGGGGGAGAAAAAAAGCATAACAATGAAAGGTCCACTGCGTAAGAAGTCATGTGCACTAAAGAAATAAAAGCTCTGAGAATATAAGCCCAGATTTTTAAAAAGCCATTTATTTTAAAAAACTGGTTTGTCAAATCACATACACGAGTAGATACACAACTACCAAAGTGGCCCTGTTATAGACACCAGTGGGGGCGTTCACCACACAGTACCTGAAAAATACAGCTAAAAAAGAGGAGTCTGTTGAGTATTTAATTTCTCAATTTGACTTATTTGACTCCTTGTTGAATGGCTTTAAGTTAGCATATAGTGAGTGAGAGGTAGAGTCCCAAGTGTAACAGCTGATGCCTCAGGGCTCCATTTAAGAACAAAACAAAAACAAAAACCATTTCCCCCTCTGCACAGGGGAAGCCTAGCCTATTTTTTTTTTTCTCCTTTGTGAAAACAGAAGCCAAGTTTCTCTTCTCAGATGGTTCAGCATTCCCCGTAAAAGTGTTGTGTGGTAGCCTAGGTATTGTGCTTCTTGAGCCATCTAATTTTCTTCACCTTCCGATTCGGATTCTAGGGAGAGAAGAGAGAGAAAAGTCAGGGTTTTTATTCAGAGATACTTTAAAAAGTTTTTTAAAAAACTTATTTATTTTGAGAGAGAGAGAAAGAGAGAGAGAGAGAGAGCGCACCAATGCGGGGGGTAGGCAGAGGGAGAGAATCATCAAGCAGACTCCCCGGTGAGTGTGGAGCCTGATTCGGGGGCTCGGTCTCACAACCCATGAGATCATGACCTGAGCCAAAACCACGAGTCAGAGGCTTAGCTGACTGAGTCACCCAGGTACCTGTCCTTTTAAAAAATTTTTATTAAGTACATTCTATGCCCAACGTGGGACTCAAACTCATGACCCTGAGTCTCATGCTCTGCCAACTGAGCCAGCCAGGTGCCCCCAGAGATTCCTTTAAATAAAGTCATGAAAGAGTTTCTAATCTGTTACCCCACCCCAACCCTTGGAAGACATTTTTTTGCCATAGGCATGCATTTACTAGGGAAGACAGACATATAATACGTGAGGGCAGTAGCAACCTCTGGCTCCTTTTTGCTTTTCAATGAATTTTGCCTTTCTAAAAATGCAGCATGCTCATAAATATTATTAAAGACTGTAATTACTTTTACTCTTCTGGGTCATCTAAAATAAACTTTTCATGCTTAGTGGGATTCATTCTCATCCATTATTCTTCCACCTAGTGCTCCCATTTTAAGTACCAGTCAACTGGTTAAGGTGCTATAAAAATCTATATAATCCCACAATGTGTAAGCCAATTTTTTTTTCCTTTCACAATGGCTAATGATTTATTCCTTTGTCCCCCATTAGGATGGATAATTTAACAGGCTTGCTTTCTTTTTTTTTTTTTTTTACCATGTAGAACTTTTCATTGCTTTGATTTCAGAAAGGAAGGCTAAGTTTGCAGGCAAGATATTTGATATGGAAAACACCCTAAGAACTTTAGTTTTAGGAAAGCATGAAAAATCTGTGGAAGAAGTAGATACCTTAAGTTAGAATGAGAAAGTGTGTGCTAAATGGCCACCAAAGTTGTTAAATGGAATCATACCTTCTTCTGCGTTTTGTAGCCACTCAACAAATTTCTTCATCTGGTCAAGAAAAACACTTTTGCCTTTGGCAACGTGTGCTTCTTTGTACCATTTCAATATTGCTTCTTCACTCAGTACATCAGCTGCAATTTCAAATTAGAGATTTCAAAGTTACTACATAAATGTCATGTTTTAAAGCAACTTTATGTCTTCTAATTTAATAGAAAGCACTTACTTTAAATATCAAAAGCTCTGTTATCACAGAAATCCATTATCTGAAATTTATCAAGAAGACAGGAACCAAGCTCATTTCCATATAGCACAGTGCGGTATTTTGGGAATTCGATTAGCAAATACTTTAGTGATGATGATGATGATGATGATATACATCTCATCAGGCATGATATACTGCAAGCTTATCTGTGAATCACTACCGGGACTTGGAAATCCTTCCCAGTGCTAATGTGCTGGTAGGAAAGTGGGTTATTTTGTAATTTTGCAAATGAATCAGCAATTCCAGCAATTCAGAACACTCTGTGTTCTGCCAACTTCACACACGTCTTGATTAAGCAGCAACCTCCAATGACTGGGCTTTTAAGGGGATTTACTCTCTTAGGAGAAAAAAAAAAGGCAAATAAAACCACATAAGTAGAATGTAATAATGCTATTAATAATTAAATGTGAAGATGAGCTATCTGGGTGTATCATAGAACCAATACACATATTACTCAAAATTCTACGTTTATTCTACCACTAAGTCACATGCATTACCTATAACATAATTTCCCAAATCATAAGAGTAATATTTTCCTTGTTACTCCATTAAGAGAAAAACAGAGGCATTAGGTAGACTTCTTACAGGTTTCCAGCAAAAAGCATTATCTGTTAACTACCCATTACCTTAAATTCTAAATTTCACAGATGTGTTGAAACCCTCAAGTTACCATTAATTTAGACTATTTAATGTTAAGAATAGGAAGGGGAATATGAAAATAATTGTCTACATATTTTGCCAATGTTCCAATGGGTTCTCTTTTGGGATTTCAGAGCGAGAAATGAGATGGGAAGCAGATAAAAAGGATTTATTATTGTCCCTAATGCCTGCCCAATCCATTATAAATGCTGATAAATCATGCTAATAATGTTTTTGCAGTTAAAATATGATTTTAACTTACAAAAATGACAAATAAGTTGATAGTGTTTTCACTCTAATCACTGATGTTTTCATAACCAAAACCTAAAGTTTTTTCAAAATTAATGACTGGCTTGGATTCAGTGGAAGAGACTGAATTGACTAAAAGTGCCCACGATTGCTTTTAGAAAATATCATTTGTTTTCTTTATTTTTATCATTATATACACTACATTTTGCAAAGAAGAAGAAAGTCTGGATTTACTCATTCATAAGAACTGGGTGTAAAAATTAAAATCAGGAGTCCTATAGAATTACTCTTAGCTTCTGGTCTTTTAGCTTCCATTTCCAGCTCCTGCTCTCCACTCACAGTGATGAAAGAACTTTCCTGCCACTTGCCATCAAAGCCCAGTGTTTGTAGAGGTGAGGATCAGATACTTCACGGTCCGAGGAAGTGACTTGTTCTTGTGCAAGGCTGCTTTGCACTGATTTCCCAAGAACACTTACTGGCTCAAACATGGATTTTAAAAGTCCTTTTCATATAATTTGTCTTTATAACATTTTTAAGATGCTTGTGATTTATTTTTGATAAGATGCTATTTATTCATTTATTTGAGAAAGTGAGAGAGAGAGAGAGGGAGAGCACTAGAGGGAGAGGGAGAAACAAACTCCCGCTGAGCAGGGAGCCCGATGCAGGGCTCGACCCCAGGACCCTGGGGTCATGACCTGAGCTGAAGACAGATGCTTAACCAACTGAGCCACTCAGGCATCCCAAGATGCTTGTGATTTAGAACCCTTAATTTCCAAACTGTTTTGGTCACACTCTTTATCAGTAAGACAATTTTGAGCAAGTACACCCAACATATGTCTTTCGGTTTATAAATTATATGCAAGTACTACAGAACTATTACTATTATAAAATAAATGGAGTTTAAAATATAACAAACATGCAGAAAAATGCTATTTTATCTCCTCACTTTAATGAACTGTGTGCGATACAATGCTCATGGTGGAAAGCTGAATTAGACTGCACGGGAAGGTGACTCTTTGTTTCAGGTTTTCCTTCTGAAGATTGAGAGCTCATTCATGTGCTTTATTGCCCCACAGAGGCTGAAAGAAGCCATGCAACTACTAAAACGCTTGTCAACCACAGACCCTAAATCATTAGGTAACACTTATCAGATGCACTGTCCACAGAAAATGAGACAACTGCAAAGATGAGTTCTTAGAAGAGCCTAATTTAGTAATGAATACTTGCTGCGAAACCAAATTTCTAGTACCAGGTAATAAACAATAAAAAAGAGACAAAAGCAACTATACAGGACAACTTTGGAGGCAAAGCACAAATATCAAAAAGTTTAAGAAAAAACTCGACTTTTGTTTAGTGAAAAGTCTAATCTAAAGAGGAGAGAACTTCCTGAGGTATAAAGAGAGAACTTTTTTTCCTCCCACTAAGGAAAAGTACGAGAGTTCATTAACACTGAAAAACAACAGTGTTTGTCGGGATCTCCCAGAAATGCCTGCTAGGAATATAGAATATCAGTAAAAATACAGTAAGAAAAACATTCTATAAGTGCATGTAGAATTCCCTCAGATTACAAAATATTTTTCTCCTTTCTATCTGGCCGAATACTGTGTGCCCTTCCTCCAACATTCCATCACTTCTCATCACCCTCTGTGTGAGTCTTATTTTAGAAATGAAATGGGGACTGTAAACCTTGGTTTTCTTCTACACTCTGAAATTTAGGAAGTCAGGAACTGTTCTGTTTATCATCTCATTTCCAGCATTTAATGGAAGCCCTGCCATCTACTATGCATTTCATAAATGTCTGATGGACCAATTCATTTTGATGAGAAAACTACATTATTTCTCAATTTGCAGAGTTATAACTTCAATGTTGGGTTTCCATGAAGATCAAAGAGAAAATATAGTACAAATGGTTTAAGAAGGGCAAAGCTGTAGGGAACATTACTTAGATATTTAAGTTAAAAACCATGTCACTTGTGGGGCGCCGGGGTGGCTCAGTTGGTTAAGTATCCTACTGTTGGTTCGGCTCAGGTCATGATCGCAGGGTTGTGGGACTGAGCCCTGCATCAGGCTCCCCACTCAGCATGGAGTCGGCCCAAGATTCTCCCTCTCCGTCTGCCCCCCCACCAACTCACGCACTTGTACACGCGCGTGCACCCTCTCTCTCTCTAAAATAAATACATAAATACATAAGATCTTTAAAAAATATATTTAAAAAACCCCCAAAACCATGTCACTTGGAATTTAAGAGACTCATCTTATTAGGGATGTCACAAAGGGACACAAGTCAAAAATAATTTACCTTAAGAATGCTGAGAATATATGGTGAGAGGCTCACTCACTTTTTTTTAGGATGAGAAAAGAAAGTTTCTTTCAGAAAAATATGCATGAGGAACAGAACTTAACCTAAGAAATATCTGCAAATAATACAATCCATGATAGAGGTACTGACAGTACTTGAGAAGAGACTAATATTTTTCAGATCCACATGCTAAGAATATGGTACTTGGCTTTAGGAAGAAAGGAAGAAAAATTATTTTAAGAAGTGAATAATGTGATGTCTGAAAATTAGTGATGGACTTAATATTTTTCCTATTGCACAGACATATAAAAATCTAGGTTTTAATACAGAAAGTGAATCTTTACTAAAGGACCAATCTCTACTTTTTTCTTTCATTCCTGAAATTCAGCACTATCATTTACAGTTTATTCACTTTTATTCCCTTGTTATTTACATGTTAAAAAAAATCTTTCAATAATGGCATTCATTTAAAATAATTAGGTTTGTCAAGGAGACAGGGGGAATCATATCTCCAAGTTTCTGTTATCCTCAAGTTCTAGAAATACAGGGAAGGTATGTGTGTACATAACAAACAGAGAGATTAAATGGGAAAAGAGAAATTATTTCTATTACATTTTAAAAAACGTGCTTTAAAGCAAAATGTTCCTTACGATAAATAAAAGGAACCCACATCACTAGATAAAAGAAGCAAACAAGATACTATTTGATATCTGTTGATTGTGTATGTGTACATGGAATTAATGAGAAGTATAATCTTGGAATATGTTACTACAGTTCACAGAATTTTTCACTTCTGGCAGTCAATAACCCTTTAGACCACTGGTCCTGACCAAATCTTGGCATCATCTGGAAATTTGTTGAAATGCAAATTTGCGGGCCCAACCCTGGCCCTTCTGAACCAGAATCCCCAGGGAATCTGTGTTTTAACAAGCTCTCAGGTGATTCATATATGCAGCAGCATTGGGAGGAGAGTGCGTTAATACATACACACTGTTCAGCACGCCTTTTTAGGCAGATAAAACACAGAACAAGAACATCCAAGTGTGGGGTGCCTGGGTGGTTCAGTTGGTTAAGCGTCTGCCTTCAGCTCAGGTCACGATCCCAGGGTCCTGGGATCGAGCCCCGCATTGGGCTCCCTGCTCAGCGGGGAGCCTGCTTCTCCCTCTCCCTCGGCCTGCTGCTCCCCCTGTTTGTGCTCTCTGTCAAATAAATAAATAAAATCTTAAAAAAAAAAAAGAACGTTCAAGTCTTTGTAAGAACAAAAAAACGTACATCTCCTGGTGCACAGGTGTTTGTCAGATGAAATTAGGTCAAAGAAAAACCTACTATCCAAAAAAGGTAAGAAGGTAAACACAGTAATTCTTTTAACAGCAGGATGGAAAAATCATTCCTCGGGGATTCCATGTTTCCAAGAGAAAAAAATAATGTAATTACTTCATTCAGAAAAACAGACTATATGTATAATTTTGTGGGAAATTATGAAATTACCTAGAAAATAACATTTAGTTTTCACTTCTCAGTGATGTATTTTCAGCTGCCATTTTACAGTACCCTGATTTCATCGCAAAAATAACTAAGCCAGGATACAACTGATGTTGTCACCTTCCTGTGTTCCCTTGGGTTTGCTCATACTTTCCACAGACCTGATTTTTGATTATTTAAAAACTGACCACCTAGTAAATCAATGGCCTAAGGAAGAGCTAATGCTTCTTCTTTTTATTTCTTGGTACCCACTTCTTGGTTACTTTATAATGTCAGGTCACTGTTCTTTAGCATTTGGGGCTGAAGAATAGGAAATAACTCAAAGCAACCAGTTCTGTTATCAGTAGTTATAAGGAGCACAATGGGGAAGATGTTGGCATTAATGGTTAAAATGAGAAATCTGAAAAAGGATTTTAATAGATGCCATTACTGACAAAAAGTTGTGTGTGTGTGTGTGTGAGTGAAGTAAATCCAATAATAAAATGAGGTGCTCCTGCAGATAAGGCTCAAACAAGTATGTCTCAGTTACAAAAAGATTTGGTTATAGACACTGTTTAGTTGGGTTAGCTATTAAGTGACAAGAAAGTAAATTGTGTGCTTAGACTACTAGTTTATTAACAGTTTGCTTTTCTGTAGGGGAAAATGGCCACTCACAAAGTGAACGTGAAACCTGTCTCACAGGTCTCTCTACCAGTTTACAATGGAGTCAACTATGGCCAGTGTAGACAGAATGGCCACGGGCTGGGTGGGCTCGGCTTCTCCTTCTTGGCTGCCGGGTACCACAGGTGGGTTGGCAATATGACCTGCAGGTTTTGTTCTGATGGGTCACCTTGGGCGTCCGTTAAGCCCTAGTTTTAGGATGTTGATATTTCATGACCATGTCCAAGAGGACCTCATTTGGATCTGGCCAGAGAAAAACACCAATTACTGAACTTCAGGTGGGACTTGGCAGTCAGCACGTTCTCCTCCTGACATAGAAACTGTGCTGAGTACCTTAATGCCGAGAGAGTAAAGTATCACCCAAACACCCGTGGGCAAGATCTACGCATCTGAAGAATCTGGACAGCCAATTAAAACTCTGTGAGACGCTTGAACATTTTAAAAATAGCTATTAATCAATAATGTAAAATTTTTTACACTCCACATGCCCAAATTATCATTCAAAAGAGACAAATTTAAGAACACATCAAAAAGAAAAAAAACATTTGGTTGATATTAATTTGTACTTTTTTCTAAATATTAAGTTGCCATTTAAGATTGCAGTACCTTCTAATAAGCATTTTATAATGTTCAAAATGTATCATTTCTTCTGTGCACCTCCCCCCTCCCCGCCCCCCACAAAACTGCATGAACCCAGACCAAAGAATAGTCCAGGATCATTTTTTATATACTACAGGTGTAGAGATTGAGATCAGTTAAAATTCTAATAGCGTTCATTTATTAAAGGTAGTGCCAGTTGTCACGACAACCTAATCCTTACAAATACAATGAAAAGACAGTAAAGTGAAAAATCTAAAAATAGTCATTTCATTGAAAAACAGGAGAATGGTTGGGCCAAATAATTAAAATACAAAGTAAAAAGCTAATTATTTCAGTAATTTTAGTCAGCTTTATAGCACCTGAGAAGGTCTGAATATACTATAGGCAGCCTTTGGTAGTCATTGTTATTAGAGCTAATCCTTACAATTCAAAAGCAGACCCAATTACTTTTTGTTACTACAGTATTCTTCACCATCCCTCCCCACCAAAAATAATAACCGGTTTATCACCAGTCTCTTGGCAATGTGCCCAGGGGCCCCATCATGTATATATGGCATTTGCGCTTTCTCTCTTCACACAATATGGCTGCCTCACTCAAACCTGCAAAAATTAGCATGGACCCCCAACGTCCCCTTCTGCCTCACCCCCTGTGCTGGGCCTCAAAGAGCTTCAATAAAACATGGAAACATAGTGGTAAAGCAACATGGAGAGATACCTTTATAAAAGAGAACCACGATCTTCTGAAAAGCTTTCATGAAATGGATGTTGTCGTAACAATACTCTTGAACCTTCTGGAGGAGGATCAGCTCTGACTGGCCTTGGGAGCTGAACACAGCCAGCAATGGAGCGTATTGCTGGAACAGAAGTGGGGAGTAAAACCAACCATTAATTTTCATGGGCGGTACAGGGCCAACAATACTTGAATCACAGCAGAAATCTGGAGATGTGCTTAGAAAGCATTCACTTTTAGGACTATCTTATTATTATTATAACACTGTGTCCAATCAAAATTAATTTTTTATCCTAGCATCTTACCAGATTTCTCTCACTGTACCCGCTAAGAGACCAAATACGAAATTCTGACTTTTTATTTTTATTTTTTTAAAGATTTTATTTATTTGAGAGAGAGAGAGTGAGAGACAGAGAGCACAAGAGGGAAGAGGGTCAGAGGGAGAAGCAGACTCCCTGCTCAGCAGGGAGCCCAATGCGGGACTCGATCCCGGGACTCCAGGATCATGACCTGAGCCGAAGGCAGTCGCTTAACCAACTGAGCCACCCAGGCGCCCGAAATTCTGACTTTAAAGGTGGTGTTACTATGTCTGTCTAATGGGCACTATGAAAAGAAGGTAGAGGGGCGCTTGGTTGGCTCAGTCGTTAAGCGTCTGCCTTCAGTTCAGGTCACGATCCCGGGGTCCTGGGATCGAGCCCCGTGTCGGGCTCCCCGCTCGGTGGGAAGCCTGCTTCTCCCTCTCCCTCTGCCATTTCCCCCTTGTGCTCTCTGGTTCTATTTCTCTGTCAAATAAATAAAAAAAAAAAAAAAAAAAAAGGTAGAGTGAGGCCTTGGAGTGGCCAGATTAGTATTGGTGGAGTGCGGGGTTCTCTTTCCCCAGACATCCCAGACCCCCGCCCCCCAGGTCATCTTTGTGGTTTTGTTCATATTATTGCCTTTGTTCCAACTGTCCTTTGTTTCCAGTCACTGATGTACAGCCGCTGTTTTCTCTTAGGACTTAACACAGTTCAACAGAATCTCCTCCGAGGAGCCTTCCCAGATCAACTTGACCTGCAGATTTTACTCACTGCTGTGTTTCTTTCTTTCTTTCTTTTTAAAAACATTTTCTTTGTCAGAGAGAGAGAGAGAGAGAGAGAGAGCGGAGGAGCGGCAGGCAGAGGGAGAGGGAGAAGCAGGCTCCTCGCCGAGCAGGGAGCCCGATGCAGGACTCGATCCCAGGATCCTGGGATCATGACCTGAGCCGAAGGCAGACGCTTAACCGACTGAGCCACCCAGGCATCCCATCACTGCTCTGTTCTAAACACTGAGAGTTATCTTTAATCTATATTCTACCTAGTTCCTACTAGGTGGTCTTTGACTTATCAGTTCAAATGTAAACTCTGTAGGAAGGATCTAAGTCTTTTACTCATCTTAATATAGTTTTATAGGGGAGACAACAATAAGAGCAAAAAGATGTATCCATGCACAAAAACATGCAATTTACACAATGAGTTGATTTCTTCCACCACTCAGATACTTTTCAAATTCTAATACCAATCTGTAGTCTACTTAAAAATATTACCAAGAACTTTTGTCGTGCAGAATGAAAAAAAAAAAAACCAAAAAACAATAGTTAGACCATATTTCTTTTTCACTTTAAATACTGAATATATATATGATTAGTCTGTGAATCTTCCAACATTGTGTTTATTTTTTTTTAAAGATGTTTTAATTTATTTATTTGAGAGAGAGAGAGATACCATGAGCAGGGAGAAGGGCAGAGGGAGAAGCAGACTCCCCGCTGAGCAAGGAGCCTGACTCGGTCTCCATCCCAGGCCCCTGGATCATGACCTGAGCCGAGGGCAGACGCTTAAGCAACTGAGCCACCCAGGTGCCCCTGACATTGTATTTAGTAAGTACTTACTCTACAATATATTTCATAGGCCCTTACATCTGAGACATTTCAGGTAGTGGCAAATTTGAAAAAAAACAAAAACAAAACAAAAAAAAAACCCAACAACAAAAAAACCAAAACACCAGGAAATCTATCTTTGGCCTAAACCTGGGTGAACTGCAGCTAGAACACACATGTCATGCATACAGTTAAGAGCTGCAACTGGTCTGCAGCCAAGACTGTTCCCTGTTGACCCTGTACCTTCAGGTGCTTAAGGGCCTGCTCTGCAACCAGTTCTTCCTTCTTGTTCCATTCAACGGCATTCATTATACAGGTCCACAGAAGTCCAATCACTGCTGTCTCCGGAAGATCATTCCTCTTCATTTCTTCTTTAACATAGAGCACCACCTACGTTTCATGGAGAAAGGGGTCAGAGAGTAACAGGCAGATGGGAGTTTCCCTCTCACCGTGCCTGGTTAGTAAAAGGCTTTGGGTGGATAAATACTCAGCTCTGTCCCTCCTTTTCTGGTACCTATTCTCATATTACAAGAGGGAGGAAAAACACAATGATTTGTTCTCAAAGCACATTTATATTTAGTCCAAAAATTAATAGGTTCGGCTCTGGCCAGGAGATGCTAGGGAAGAGGAAATAAGAGGGACTCTTTGTTTCTGAGAAGGTAATTCTTTTACTTGCAGCAACCCCTCTGGGTCCCGCACAGCTGATTACTTGAGCCGGTTTGATTCTCTGGGATTTCAACAAGGCAACGGAGCTGTGAATCTTTACCTCCGACTCCCAACTTTAAACCCCTTGATGAATAATGGTTTGGGTTTGTACAAGTCCATTCACCACAATTTATTCCTTAATGATTACTTTTGATGACCCTCATGCCCCATGTGAATAAACTACCAAGTGCAAAGGCAATGTTTTTTATATGATACATATCAATGCAGCAACTCTGGATGGGTTATCTTCTAATTTATCCTCAAATCTGATGGCATGGAATAAAAGGTCTACCCAGCTTAATATATTTTATATCAAACTTGTTTGGAAAATTTTTTTTTCCTTTTGAAATACAATCACAAAGACAGGTTAGGTCCTCAAAAGTGATTAAACACCATAATCTATGTCAACTATACTATTACTTTGTGAATAGCACAGCTCTTCCCCCCTCCTTGCTCGCTAGTGAAAAGACATTGTTTTCTTCCCCACCCTGGCCTGGGATACAGAGGTGTCAGGAACGGGTTAAGTGACGTTTGAGAACAGAAGGAACTGGGAAGTCCCAGTGCCTGAGCTGGCTGAAGAAAGCTGCAAAGACAGGTGACACCTTTGTGTCCAGAAGCATCACAGTGTTTTTTGGTTTTGCTTTTTTTTCCCTCCATGGAAAATCATGTTCAAGTTCTTGCTTGGAAAATGTTACTCAATATATTGCTGACCTTACTGCCATGAGACTTAGAAATATTTTTTGTCCCACCACCTCCATCTGCTGGATAGCATCGGCCTGGAATTCTCCATTCAAACCATGTAAGGTGCCGTGTGGGGCTTAGAGCATGCAGAGTGCTAAGGGTTTGGGACTTGGAAGCAAGTGGCAAAAGGGAAGGACCTGATTTAATTTTGGATTATCATGTAAAAATGTTAAAGTTCAAATAGGAAGTTTTCTGCAGATAGTCATAGCTCTATGAACTACTGTTATAAAAGAAATGTAGTATTTACATTACAGGGATACCCAGCTACAGTGAGTGTGATCCAACAAGTCACTGGTCCAACTGGTCTTTTCCCATGATATGAATTCAAAAACCATCAAAATTTGTCTTAAAATTAAAAAAAAAAAGAAAAAAACTCTACATATTCATACACAGTGATCCATGAAATACCCAGCGTTGATTTCAAACACTAACCATATACTTAACCATATTATATTATCTGCGATAAAATGGAAAAACCACCACATAATGGTGTATACTAATAGTGGATGGCAACTCTATCTGGTAGATGAACTATTTTTATTTTGCTCATCACACTAGCCGGATAAAATACATCAACTGTGTGGAAATGACCATTCATTTCTGGAACGTGCTAGAGGATTCTGAATCAAAACTTTGACACTGAGCTAGTTTAAATGCTATACACAAGTACACAAAGTTCACATAAGTAGACAAATGGAGGTCTCTTTTAGGAAGGTCAAGCTTGTGCGACACAATGCTATTCCTCTCATGCATGGGTTTTGTGGTGATGGAAGCCGATGGTTTCCCACCTCCTTGATTGGGCATTCCTGAGAAAGACGCTCCTGCAGCTCCTTCTGCAGTTCCTTCCTGGTGCCCAGGGACTGCTGGATGCGGAGGAAGTCAGAAAGCTCCTTCAGGCCTGCGTCGGTAAAGTATTTAGCAAAATGATCCACACTCTGCCTATTAACTGGAAAGAGCTCCTGAAAGACAAAAGGAAGAAGACCGTTACACAAAAAAACCATTCAAATTTCAGCAAGCCTAAAGGACAACATTTTCATACTAAAACAGCACTTAGATGGGGCGCCTGGGTGGATCAGTCATTAAGCATCTGCCTTCGTTAAGCGTCTGCCTTCGGCTCAGGTCATGATCCCGGGGTCCTGGGATCGACCCGCATCGGGCTCCCTACTCCACAGGAAGCCTGCTTCTCCCTCTCCCACTCCCCCTGCTTGTGTTCCCTCTCTTGCTGTGTCTCTGTCAAATAAATAAATAAAATCTTTAAAAAAAACCAGCACTTAGAATATCTCATATTTGGAACACGAGAGCAGAGAATGATTGTCAAAAGAATAAATCTTGGGTATATTTCTTGAGCATTTGCTAAGCACCTTCTAAAATTAGGCAGTTTTACAGAGAAAGCGAAAAAAATGCTAAACAACTTATATAAACTGGCTTCACCCATTTTGAACCATTATTTACTTTTTTTTCACTTTAATCAGAGTGTAGCATGTATGAATACAAAAGTAATCTTGCTAAATTAAATGCAAATAACATGATAACTTATGAGTTAATAGACAAAAGTCAGTTTTAATAATGCTGAGATGATTTGAGATAACGTTAGAAAAACACTATTACCTCAAGAACCTCTATTCACATTCTGAGAAAATGCTATTATTCTAATACTAGCTTGGAACTAAAGAGAATTTTTGTCTTATCTGTTAATGATGGTGGCTCTAAATGAAGTCACAGTAAGATCTAATCTAAACCCACCTTACCAAACTCTTCAGTTCATTACATAATTCTGTTGGAAATTTTTAAAGAGAGCAATACACCATGGCTGCTTGCATATTTTTTACCTCATTTCCATTTTACCTTACACAGCTTGGCAGAATCTCAGTAACACTTAGTCATGTTCTAATCCTGTGTGATTTCAACACCCAACTAAGATATTAAGACAGTTTTCAAAGCGCTCACATTTTTCAGACTGCTGCAGTCTAAAAAAATAGATCCAAACTTTTATGGTGGTTAGATTTGCACATGTATGGTCAGTGTCTATATGGCTCTGGTAAAAAAATCTCAGTAGAAAAATCTGTAATAGGTTTACCACCACGTACAGGGACAGAGCCAAAGCCTTCTATGACAGGACTCAAATTTCAATATTCTCTATATCATCATTCCAAAACTTCCCTTGTTGAGTTATAAGTTTTAAAATGTCAGAAGAGATGGTGGGAGCAGCTATTAAACACACATTCATGTTAAAGCAAACATTTCCTATCAGACTAAAATTCTGCCATGACATTTGTTCTCCCGTTCAAGAGGTCTTCCAAATTTGGGATGCAGGGAACAAATTTGAGTTTCTTCTATGAATCAAAATGCGGTGGGCATTCTCCTCATAATTATGTAAAGTAAAAATTTTTACAGAGGATGAATTAAGTCTCTACAAGGCTAAGTAGCTTGACCCAAATTATGCAGCCAGATATATTTAAGGACATAGCTGAGTGTACCCATAGCTGATAATTATTCTGTTACCCCATGCCGGCATTCGATATTCAATTTAGGAAGAATGGGACGGCAAAGTTTGATCTAAAGTTATGTTCAGAGCAATATGGCATCAAATATATTACTGGTGGCTTATTTATGAACTATATCCAAAGTCCTAATAAATGGCACATAATACATTGTAGATTATTATTCAGATTAAACTGAAGTCGAGCCGGTCTGAATCCTATCATGACATTTACTGGCTTGGAACGTGGTTTGTGTTTGCTAGAAAAACCCTACCCAGGTACAAACAACCATCAGATTAAGGTCTCCCTGCTTCTGCTCTTGCTTCTGAGTCTATTCCCAAAGTAAAGCCAAAGTGATCCCATTTAGACCCTAAACACATTATGCACAGTTCTGCTGAGAATTTCCCGAAAGCTTTCCATCTGACTCAGAATAAAAGCCAAAGTTACTAGATGATATGGGACCTGCTACTTCACCGAGCTGATCTACACTTTCGCTCTTACCAAACACTCTTCCTCTTTCTGTCCCCAACATGCCACGCCCCAAAGCCTAGAGATACCTAGATAGCTCACTCCTTACCTCCTTCGAGTCTTTACACAAATGTTCCCTTGTCAGAGAGACCCTCCCCTACCACTGAAAACTGCATCCTTCTTTGACACTCCTTAGAGCTTCCCTAGTTAATTTTTTCCTCACAGCACTTTTAATTTTTTATTAGTTAATGGTTGATTTCGTCTGTTGCCTTCCATCCCCTTTCCAGAGTTGCTATAAATTTTTCTTGCTTCTGTATTACAGAAGTGAGTAACTGCTACACTCTGAGATACGCTTTTTCCCCTAAAATGTACTAGTACAGCCAGACAGAATTTTGTTGTGTTAAGGAAACAAAAATTTTCTCCCTGATGTTGAAACTGACCCTCTAGTTCCTCATTCACATACTGAGTTAGCAAACATCAGGCGGCAGGGTCCACAGAGGATTACCCTATCCTCCCCGAGCTTACAGTGTTTCTGGTAGAAACTTCTACCTGTGCTTCTCATACCCCAAATATATGCAGACACAGAAACCTAGTAGGAACAGTTAAATGATGTGTTTTTCAAAAAAGGAAAGACATTTAAAAAAAATTTATGACATGACCTAATTAGGTTAACCGAGCTCTGCCTATTGACATCTTTAAGGAAGCATGCATTAGTAACAGTCTTTTGTGGCAAGTTGTAATAGACTGTATACTTGTTCTTAATCATTGGCCCCTCTCCTTTAAATAAGTATTGAGAGATGCCCCTCCTTGCTGTGTCTGTCTGCGGAAGAGGAATAGTAGGCTATGATAGAATGAACTTTCTCACCCACCCCCCTGCCAGGCTTCACTATCACTTCTTTTGGCCAGTAGAAGATGAGCTTTTAATGCACTGGAGTGATTCACTTCTGTTTCCTGTGTTCCTGTCCTTAGCCATGAGGACAGAATGGCCCACATGGGAGGTGCTCCTGCAGGCTGGGTCTCAGAATGGAAAGGTGTATGGATCACAGGGGGACCTGGCCCAGATACAGCTCATCTACAGACTCAGGGACAAGAGGAATATGTTGCCTTCACATAAGCTTCCACCCTGCTCAGCCCACCTAGTCACTTACGATTTCTCCTTCTGTATACAAGGATCTAACCTAAGTCCATGAGAAAGTGGGTTTTTGAAGGCAGGGAACTTTTCTATCCTGTTCTCTCTTGCCTCCTCAGCTTCTAGGGCCATGCCTGGCACAAAGTAGGCACTCAAACATAGGCTGACTAAAAATTATCAGTGGTAGAAATTAACTAGATTCTACACTTTTTCATTTTTCTTCTTTATCGCATTCTAAAGACTTTAAAGACCCAAAAGGGCTATTTTAAGGTAAACTTCAAGAGACAAAGGAATTTTAAGTGATTGAAAGTAAAAGCATAAGCATTTACCGTTAAAATTATTCTTGGGTTTCCTGAGGGGAAGAGCCCATTTTTAGAATTACCCTACAGACTGACAGATACCCGTGCACACTGGAACACCTCAGAAATGAAAAACAGAGGAGAGACCAGGTGAACAGAAGATGGCAAGGGTGTCTTTCAGTTTTAGACTTTGTTCTAGATTGTAAAAGCAACGTCACTTGGAGTTATCTCTGTCATCTGCAGAGCTATTGCTTCTAGCAGGAAGAAATTTTAGGGAGCAGATAGAAATATAAGAACAAAATATTTCTTTTGCTTTTTGTTTTTTGGAAAAACAAAGACAGAGAAATAAAAACATAATCAATCGTGATCATCAGAGCTTCAAATCAACCACAATAAACTTACCTGCTTTCTTAAATACCTAAGTATTTCCAAGTATTTTGGTATAAACAAGGAATCCTGTTTAAGCTTTTATTTAGTTAACAAATCAACAACTACATGAGATCAGTGTCCTCCATCTCTAACCTAACACATAAATGTTTAATTAGGTGGGATTGATGGGACTTTTTAATATTGCAACTTTAAATCTATATAGTTACTAGTTATAAAAGAACGTGTTAATTCTGATAAATGTTAACTCAGTCTCAACAAACAACAAAATCTGAAAGTCTCATTAGTCTCTTTAATTTTATCATTCCATTTTTTTTAATAAAGATTGAGATGGAATTCGTTTCTATCTGCCAAATATACAGAAATAAAAGGAACCACGTTCCAATTTAACACAGACCCAAGCATCTCAGTCATGCATCGTCAAAGCCACAACCGAAGCATGAAGCATACAACCCCTTGTCTAGACAACACTTACAAGCAGCCTCTTGTCTAAGTTGGCTTTTCTCAAAGAAGAGGTAACAGAGTTGGCATCTTTTTCTGCCATCCATGCTTTAAAAAGCTTGACAGCAAATGAGGCCGCAATGCCTGTTTAAAAAAAAAAGAGAAAGAAAAAAGTGAGTTTCATTCCTTTCCTAAGCAAAACCACTTGCGACGATGGACAAGGCCACCCTGCCCACTAGGTGTCCTGAAGTGAGTTAAGAGCTCCAAGACTTGATTTGGTAGAGGTAAAGCAGCTCTGTAGGTACAGTTCTGTTCTCTTCATCAGGCACAGTTTACTTTCATTACTCAAAAGAGAGCATTTTCATGAGAAGGAAAAAGAATCAAAATATTTTTCAAAGTGGGTCTCTCTGATTCGAACCTGGTATAATTGTAAATTTATTTATTTATTTTTACCTTGGTTCAAAACACATTAAAAGCCCAGTATTTTCTAGTGTCTTTTGCCTCTCCTTCACCCTGTGGCTCACCAATATTTCATGTGTATAACAATGATCCTGAGGCACAACAAACAAATCTTGAGACATAAAATGAAATGGTAACATGTCAACTAATTTGCTGATAAATGATACCAGTTAAGAACCATTAAAAGTGATGGATATAAATAAAGCTATACAAGGAAGGACACTATTTACCTTACAATTTTACTTTTGTAAAAAGCATTTGAAAATACTCATGAGTTAAGCTATAAAAATATTGATGCTGTATCAAATTGAACTTCTTTCTTGATATTTTTAAAGAGATGACTAAAAGAGCTATATTAATCAGAAAACCACTCAATTACATATCCATACTGACATTAAGATTTATTTCCAAATATAAGTGACAATCACTAGTAGACAGTTCTCCTATGAACACTTCTAATTTCCAAGTTAATGTTACATTTACTGAATGAAGAGTTAAAATGTAGTTGAAATATTAAACTGATTTTTCGCAATTGAAGGCTTCACCATTACTGGTCTAAGAAGCTCTATTCCCCTTCCCTCTTTCCTAAGAGAATTCCAATTTTGCTTAGGCTAGGTGACTTCTAGTCCAAGTCCTGGTATCACCTCCTTCTGCAATGATTAGTTTAGAGACCTCACCGGAAGTCCATCTGCCCAGGGCATTTCCCTGGTAAATGCTACTTGGCCAAAAGTAGTCATGTGGCCTATGGCAGCCAATCAGCGGAAGGCAAGATAAACTCTCCTATGCTGAGAATTATTATTCTTCCACTGAATCTGAACAAGAAAGCATGGGCCATAACTGTACCCGCAGACATCTTACAATGACCAGGGAAATCATCCTTGGGGTGAAGTTGATGCTATGAACGGTAGTGAGAAATAACGGGAGAAAATATCCAAGACTTGGATGACATTGTTTCACCCTGAAGTCTACCTGACTTTTATATTTTTTTGTTACATAAGAAATAACTGTTCTTGTATGCCAACAAATGTTCTTATACAGCAATCTGCGTCTTCAAGTTAGTTGCAGGTTAAAGCATCCAGTGGATATATCATTTATACAAACACTAACCTGGTCCAATTTTCTTCATTTGAATAAGCAGAGGAACTAGTCAAAAAAGGAAAAAAAAAAAAAAAACAGAAACTATGGCTAGGACAATAACAGGTGCTACAAGCTGGGGGATTTTATATTTGTTGACATGAGTTTTTAACACTCTCGGTTCACCAAGTTAGTGTAAAATTTAGTATATATTTATGTCATTAAATCAAAATAAAAATTAAAATGTGGTATGATCTGTATTTCACTAGAAATAAAGTAATGTTTTAAACTAGGAATCCAAATCTTGGCTTAAACCTATCACTTTGCATTAATGGTGGTTCTTGTTGGAAAATTTGGGAAATTTCTCTGTACTCAAGATTTTCCTGAGTGGAATAAATCTATCCTCCGAAGCTATTTGTTGGGTGCGGGGTTGGGGAAAAAGTGTAATTTATCAATATGTTCTCCTATTTAGGAAGCAAAAGTATAAGCCTCTAGTCTCTAAAGATGGTGGAGTATAAGAAAAAACTATATGACACAAGCACTGTCACCTCCATAGCAAATGTACTTTTCTTCTCCCCCTTTCCTCAAATTTCAATATAAAAAAAATTCAAATATGCAGAAAAACTGAATAAACTGAATTGTAAACACTCATATACCCACTATCTAAATTTTATTTTAAAGATTTACTTGAGAGAGAGAAAGAGCACAAGTAGGGACAGCAGCAGAGGGAGAGGGAGAAGCAGACCCCTAGTGAGCAAGGAGCCCAATGCGGGACGTGATCCCAGGACCCTGGGACCATGACCTGAGCCGAAGGCAGACACTTAACCAACTGAGCCACCCAGGCGCCCCCCCACTATCTAAATTTTATACCTGTTAATATTTTATGCTTGCTTCATCACTGTCTGTCTGTCCATCTATATAATTATTTTTGATACATTGCAAAGGAACTTGTACATATCACGAAGGATTTTAATACAACCAGAAAGACAATTATTTTCTGTTATAAAGGCTAGGATAATCTAATATAATTAACATTTACTGTTTACATTTTACCTTGTTTTATCTAAGCGTAAAATGGCTCACAACATAAATAAGATGTGAAATATCACCAATTCTCTTCAGGAAAACACTTTAAAATGTCATAATATTAACAACACACTAATAACAATCACAGAATCTGAACGGTCATAAATCTATGTTAAGTCAAAAACTCCAGAAAATCCCTAAATAAATAACATCGCTTGACTTTCAATTTACTAATCTTTTTTCAGCTACAAGAAAACTATAATCCATTTCACTGCAGCATGAACAAGGCTGGGACTTCAACATTTGTAGGAGAAAAACTAAGTTCTAAGAAGAAACAGATGTTTTCACAAAAGCTCTTTTATTTTTAAGAAAAAATAACTCTTTGTTTTGTGTTGCATTATAACTGGAATATCATGGTCCTCCTCCAAGAGCCCACTTTTGTTGTATTCTATAACCAAGTGATTGTATACATGCCTATCAAACTCCTAATGCCTCAAAATTAAAGCAACACTTTGATGCAACCATCTGGACTTTCTTTCTAAAACCGAGATAATGACTATCTTAAACTGTGATCAAAATGAACATGTGAGCACAAGATTTTGAGAAGTAATGGTTTAGAAGAATGGTCCTAACCAGGGAAATAAACATTCGGGGCGGGGGCGGGGGGCATTTGGGAACATGAAGGGGCCTTTTTACATTATACTAAATAGAGGTGGGTGCTACATGCTGGCATTTTGTGCCTGAGGGCAAAAAGGTTAAATGTCCCACAAAGCACAATGAAGCATTTTCCCAGCAAAATATGCCAGTAGCAACTTAATTGAGAGAAAGAGCTTAGACTGAATCAACTTCAGGGTATTTGACCTAGGCATTAAGTCTTACACCCTAAATTTCAGTTTATTATTAGTTTTTGTCTTTGTACAAGTGTATATTCTTTCTTCCAATTCCCTACAAGAAACAGGTACAATTTGTATTGTTTAAAGATAAACACAAATTTTCTTACATGGAGGATGAGTGGGTAGCAGAACACGGTAAGAAGAGGTGCTGGTGTTTCTCTAACCATATGTGGCTTTACTTTTTACATCTGCCAGGTACGAAAAAACGAGAGCAATTACCTTCTTTGACTAAGCTGTCGGTGAACAGACTAGTGAGGATGGTGGCGGGAAGGGTGCCATTGCCCAGCAGGATCCCCGACAGCATTGCCAACTTTGTCTGCTCTGTTTCGGAAAAGGCTTTAAGGAAGAGGAGAAGCTGTGGGTCAAACAAAAGAAACCATGTCTATAAAGCAAAGGACTAAAGTAGGAAAATAACAAACAGAATACACATGCATGCCTAGATGGTGAAGAACTAGTCGATCAGATGCAGAGCACGGTTATCGTTCATTAGAAACACATACATTTGTTCACTTAGAAACTGGATGCTAAGGAAAGTGACTTTCTCAGGCATGGTTCCTTTCTTCCAAGTTTACCTACACATAGCTATAGATAACATCCATGGGAACAAAAAGAGATCTTTGGAGAACAGTAGGAATAGGTTACATAAAAAATTTACATCTGACTTTGTACAGAACAAAGGGTAAGTTTTACATGATAAGCATAACATTTACTGAAATAGATTACTGTCCTTCACATTTTTCATTTTTTGGGGTCCCCCCACTACAGCTACCCATTTTCTTTGGGTTTGTTATAGCACAATGAACAAAAAACAGGAAAAAGTCAATAAGCTTTGACATCAGCATATGCTTTTCTGAATTCAGAGCATATAATATTCTTTAAAACAAGACTGTTCGGTGAGGAAGGGGTTTCCTAAGTTCTTGATGCTCTTTTAAAAGTAACAAGACTCAAACTTGGTATTTTTTGGATCACGCAGCTTTACCAGCCCTGGTGATCAAGTAACGGAGGATCTGACCCAAGTTCTTAATGGAGAAAAGGCCAGGGATACGAGCTGGAAAGAGCAATTTTGAAGGGGTAATTGGAAAAGTAGCAACCCCAAAATGGTTAAAGGAAAACCAAAGCAAAGGGGATTATAGCCCACTTCCCATTTTTAATTCTAAGAGTACTGAGTCATGTGCAATGCCCTGCTCTTTCCTAAGGCACCCACCTAGTGCTGTGACCCTCTTCTAGGACTATCTTCTCTGTTTCATAGTCCTTGGGCATGTTACCAAGATCCCCAGGGCTCACTATCACTACTGGGGCCTTGCTGACTTTTTTCATTACTTGGCACCAACAAAAGGCCATTAACTCTGTGCATTGCGTAGGGCAATATTAATTTACTATCCCGGACAGTTAAAGGATTATTATGTTACAGGTAAGTTATGTGACTAGATATTTGAGTCCGTGGCAGAGCTGTAATCAAACTAGTCCATTTCACTCCCAGGTTATGCCTATTAAAGTCTCAATGAATTAAAGACAAAGTCACCTTCAAAGTGCATAAGAAAACACCGAGGGAATGAGAGCATCAATGGGTAAAGCTCCAGGGAACACCAGGAAGGAGGCAGAGTAAAAGGACTGACAAAATCATAGACACTTCAATCTGGCCTTTTCCTCTGATTGTAAAGATGATTAAGACTCAAGTGAATAATGAAAAATGGCTTCCAAAATAAACTTTTAAAAACTACTTTTTAAGCACATCAATATACCCACATTCATTAAAAATATTCCATTATAACAAAATAGTGCAGTTAGATTTTTTAAATTAATATTCACATTGATCAATTATATTATCAATGTTAAAATCAGATGCTGCATATATTCCAGAACATTCCCTGAAAAATGGATATACTGTGAAAAATAAATAGTTCTTGAAAACATATTAATATCATCACATGAATACAACAGCTAAGGAAGTTTTCAAGGAGCAAATGAGCTAAGAGAAGTAAAACACGAATGGTATTATTAGACAAAAGTGGTAAAGTGTTTATTTAAATGCTTTACATATTTCCCCCCATTATTTCCATTCCCTTATTTAATCAAGTGCTTGTTTTTTTGTAGGCACCCAGCAATGTAATAGATCACATTTTTTTCCCATTTAAATCTTTTCCTATTTAAAAAAGTTATAATACACGATAGTAAGAGTAAAATCTACCACTACAGAATAATAAAAATGTGATCTCCTCTCTAATCCTGCTTCCTTAGAATTAACATTAGCTGTTTAATGAGTGTCCTTCCAGATTTTTAAATGAACTTATATAGGTCTACATACTATATATAACTATACATATAAACATGTATTGTTTTAACTGAATTATACATTCGTAACAGCTAAAACTTGTCAAGGGTACCAGCTATTTTTCTGAATACTTTTTGTGTGTTAATACCTACAAAAGCCTCGATCCTCATTTCACAGAAAAGTAAACCGAGGCATATAGAAATTAAGTAATTTGCCTGAGGTTAAACCACCAAATGGCTGCTTTGCACCTTTTCCAATTTATCATGGACATTCTCCCTAATCAATTTAAGTGGCTACCCTTCATTGTTTCAAGATTTTACTGTCACAATCTTCCATAATGTATGGATCCACTTTTTGGGGGGGGAGGGGGTTAGGTATTCACTTTGAATAGGGGGAAGCAAGTACCTAAGTAGCAAAGTAGATGTTATGGTTCCTTTACTCCCTTGGTTTATAATTTAGGCAGATATCTAAAATTGGAAACAATGATAAAGCAACGTGCAAATCTGTAACAAGTCAATGTAGTGAGTGCTATATATATATATACACACAAGAGTTAGAAATTGGAAGAGGGAACATGTTGCAATTACTGAAAGCAGGGCTTCTTTAATGAGGTGCTACTATTTCTTTCCCTACTTACTAGAGGCCACTTAACTCTATTAACCACCTTATATGTTATCTCGTTTATTCCTACAAAACCATGAGGTATGTCATCTTATCGCAGCTATTTTACAGATGACAAACACCACTGAGATTGACATTCACATATTATCTCCCAAGAAATGCTTCTATTCCCTTCGCTAAACTGTATTTTTGGAAATTAAAGAATTTTGCTGGGTATTAGCTGCTGTCCATATATTATTTCACATGCTTGAACTGATTAAATCACATACCTCAACTCTTCGCTTGATATAATCATTTTTCTTGCATATTTGGAATCTCTAGTTTTTATTTTAAGCCCTGCGAGGTCAGGAATCAGATGCTATAAAACCATTCCTATGGAATAAAGCATGCTGTCTTACATTAAACATGAATGAACAAAGTCTAGGCTAATCATGTATTTTCCCCATAGCTATTAGCTAATGCTCTGTCACACTCATTCATTCAAGAAACATTAAAAACTTACTACGTCCATGTACGTCTGCACTATCACTGTATATGTAAAATTTTTGTCCCTCTCCATTTCATTACTTTAAACAGATAAGGCACTACATCTGAATTTTTACCTTTTTCATTTCATCCTCAAATGCTTTTTCCAAATACTTATATCTCCTGATGAGTTTATTGAAGACCTAAACATAAAAGAGAACCATTCAATATTATGTAAACAATTTTAAAAGACAATAGGGGTAGAAAGTCACCATAACCACAACATGGGCCTCTAATAATAATAGTTAAAAAAATTGTAGTTAAATATGTGCATTCTGTGATACAAGAACTGGAAGCATTTCAAAGGAGTTATTATGACCCCTGGGGGGAAAAAAGGATGACTACATCCATGCAGAATAAAAGAAATTTAGTCAAGAGTAAAACAGGTAAGAAATCAAAACTAACTTTGATGAAAATACCATAATGTTAAAACTATAAGACGCAGAGATTAAAAACAACTGAAATGAAGGGGGCTGCATTTATCATCACAAAGACCATGGATGTGATGGAGAGGAGAGCAGACTTCAGGGATATTCTACTCTTAGACCGACACAAACATGTTTTTTGGCAGACAAGCAAAAATTGGTATAACTTAATATTAATAAAAGATTACTGGCCCCCACAATCTAGTTAGAACATTCAAGCAGGGTTTGCAACTGTGTCGGTGGAATTCTGGGCTGTTTTTTTTTTTTTTAAGTGGAATGATGTTTGCTATGGACTGAATGATTGTGTTCCTACTAAGTTCGTATGTTGAAGCCCTAACAACCAATATGACTATACTTGCAAGTAGGGACTTTAAGAGGTGGTTAAATAAGGGTGGGGCCCTAATCTGATAGGACTGATGGCCTTCTTAAGAGCCAGAAGAGAGACTACACCAGGAACCAAACTGGCTGACACCTTGATTGGGCCTCCCCAGCCTTCCCAGCTGGGAATAATAAAGTTCTCCGTTCTTCATCCATTCTATGGTACTTTATTATGGTAGCCTGAATAAAATAATACAGTGTTCTTATTTAAATAGAGATTTTATAAATGTTGATTATTTTTATAACTGAAAATGACTTCTGAATCTAATTCCTTTCTCTTATATCCCACATAATAAGTGCTCATCTAAAACTTTTAGCATGCTTATCACTTAATACGATCAAGACGGAGCTCAAGGGTAAAAATGACACTGGTGCCCCATAAGGAAAGAATAATGACCCAGAATGCAATAAAAGAAAAAGAATAAATGGTATCAAAATCCAGCAAACTTGCTTTCCAGTTTGCACAGTCACTCGAGTCCTGGGACTCGCACTCCTAATCTAGCTGAGAATAACACCTGACTGTCAAGAGCCAGTGACAGCACAGGAATACACCAATCCCAAACCAGCTAGTCACGACGCAGGTATGTTCAGCTTTACAAGGTCATGTTTACCAGGCTGTTCCATTTTACAGTCCCACCACTTCCTGACCTTCACTAGGGCCTAAAGACTTCTTATTTTTTTTACCAATCCAATGAATGCAAAAGGATATCTCACGATTTTCATTGAAATTTCCCTAATTACTAATAAGTTTGAAGATGTCTTCATCTGTTTTGGGGGAGACTTGTGTTTCCTCTCCTCCGAAATGCCTATACATCCCTTCCTAATAGGCTGCTTGTCCTTTTCTTACTGACTTGCAGTTCTTTATTTAATCTGGATGTGATTCCTTTACAGATTTTACATATTACAAATACCTTCTTGTCTCTTTCTTTTGAATAGCCACATGATAATCTACTAATACGAATTAGAAAACTTTAACGAGTACTCTGCTGATAGACTTTTGTGCTGTTTCCATGCCGTGACGCTCTTACAAGTGACACAGATAACTCCCACTGTCTGTGTCATTCTACACACATGCAAGCTTATCTGCAGGATAAGGTCCTACAAGCGGAACTGCTGGGTCAAAGGGAGTGTGTAGTTTTAGTTTTAAAAGATAGTACCAAATTGCTCTCCCTAAGGATTGTACCAGTTTATACTCCCATAAGAATTATGTGAGCATCTATGGGATGCCTGGGTGGCTCAGTCAGTTAAGCGTCTGCCTTCAGCTCAGGTCATGATCCCAGGGTCCTGGGATCGAGTCCCGCATCGGGATCCCTGCTCAGCGGGAAGCCTGCTTCTCCCTCTCCCTCTGCCTGCTGCTCCCCCTGCTTCTGCTCTCTCTCTCTCTGATGAATAAATAAAATTAAAAAAAAAATTGTGTGAGCATCTGATTCTCTGTGTTCTGTATAGGTGAAAAGTAAAAAAAGTCTACCTTTGCAAAGTTTTAATGCCCACTGCCTTACTATGAATGCAGTTGAGTATCTCTTCATAGGTTTAAGAGCAATCTAACATTCCTATTAAAAAAGTGGCCTGTAGAATTTCTGAACCCACTGTTTCCCTAAATCCTGCTCAAATGTTTCCCTTCTTACACAACAATCTCTCAATGAGGGGCTCTACCTGAGCATAATTTCGGATGGTTTCATGATCTTCACTTGCTGAAAACACACAGTGGTTGGTCATCTTGGTCTTGTCACCATCATCTATGCGTGTTCCTCCAGGGGCTGAAAAAAGGAAGGTAATGATTAAGACAATACTGAAATGAGAGGAGCATTTGCAGAACAGATCAATTCCTGCATATCAAGAACAGTAAAAGTAGATGTAAAAATCTAGAATCACATAAAAATTCATAGGATGGGGTGCATGTGTAGATGCATACGTTGTTACATATTTGTGTATGTTTCTAATATAAAGCAAACTGGTGGTTCCATTTTATAGTACTGCCATAGTGTGTGAGATTAATGTTCTACCAGGATCCTATCACTATAAAATCTTAATCACTCTAAGTCTGGACTCAATTATTCTCAATGTTGTTCCTGATGTGTGCGACCTCAAGACATGGTTCGCTTTTTCCGGCTTAATAATATTTTGCGGGACTCCAGTTCACCAACACAGAGGTTGGCCAGACTTGGCTCTTGTAGCCGACCTTGCTAGTTTCTACGTGAGTAGGTTTTAAGACTGTTCCCTCCTCCACTAATGCCGTTATCCACGTAGGGTTGATCAGTCTACATTCCGACTCCTCACTATTTGTCTTGGAAGACCTGGCAGCTGTGTTGGCTAGGAAAGAGTGTATTTTACTCTCTCTCATCTTTTTTCCCCATGGCCTATACAATATCATGGAATAAATGGACTAGAACAAAAGAATGTCTTTTTTTCTATGACTCAAATTTGCACATTCAAAGGCTCCTTCTGGAAGTTTCAGTGATGGCCATTACAAACACTGGGTGATTAGAACAGAATCAACACTAGGTGTTTTTGTTTTCTGACTCTACTTCATTGTAATTAGGGGAGGGGGGTTCAACAAGCCAAGTTAGACTAATGCCTTTCATACACTCAACAAATATCTGAAGAACATATACTTGCACCAGCCACTTCTTTTATGCATTTATGTAACTGCCTTGATTTAACTTGTGATTTTAGATCTTTGGATGAAAGTGCTATACCTAGTCAACCTTTTTCAGACTCCAGCATAACATTTTATAAGCACATTACTTTTCAGAAAAGTCAGCTCCTTCAGGAATCTATTTTCATGCAATTAATTTATGCCTAAGATTTAATTAGCTCTCTGTAATGAATACAACCACCTGGAACAAAATTTTATTAAGATGATAATCTTCTAAAAACTCTAGGCTAATGACTCCTATCTGACAGAAGTTACGTAACTGAAAAGTCTGATTTTGAAACTATAGTGTTTTCTCTTAAGAGGTAAGTTTTAAAAAACTGCATTCTTTTACAAAACATTTGTTATACATTAATAATATTGCTACAGCTTCATTAAATTTTTTTTCCCCCTGATACCGGAATCAAGTATTAATTGCCCTTTCAGAAATTTTGGTGAGCCTGCTGTTCTCCTCAAAATATAAGTAAAAGAAAAAATAGTTCTTGTATCTACTCTACAAAGAACACAACTGAAAAACCAAGATGACTATTGTTTTAAGAACAATGGAAGAAGGTAAAATTTTTTTTTTGGTGGGTATGAAGACAATTCCCATACTCACTAAGTAAACAAAGTGTTTATGTAAAAAGAATGTGCCTGGCTGGCTTTCTTCATTACATCATAGGTCTGGCCCTGGTAGATATCTGGGGGTTGTAACAACTGTGCTCCTAAGTCTTACCATATGCTTTGCCCTACCTTTCTGGATATATGGATGTAGAGCGAAGGAGCAAAACCTGGGTTGCAGATATAAATTTGCTGATTATCATTATAAAGACGGTTAATGAAGATTTGAAATTATTGATGCAAAGTGTACAGATAATTTAATATATACGTGGGGGCAGTAAGTATGGAAACCCAAGAATCATGTGAGAGGCATCCAGAGAAATACAAGTTGAAATGGTCTCGTGTAAGGGAAGAAAATAAAACATTTCAAGAATGACAGAGGGTCAGCAGTAGCTGCCAGGAGGGCCCTAAGAACTGAAAAAGGTCTATAGGATTGACTATTAAAGTCATGAGTGACTTTGGCAAGAACCAAAACTCGCTGAAGACTATTCTTGTGTAGAATTTACCAGTACATCAATAAAAGTATGTCATAATTAATGAAATACAAAAAGCCAATCATCACATCAGAAAATGTTCAACTTCACTATTGATTTAAAAGTTTTTGAATGAAAACATCACTTACCTAATTGGCAAAATTTAAAAAAACTGAAAAGCTTGAGAGTACCTAATATTATTGTTAAAGGTGTATGTAAACAGGTAGGAACACATGATTTTTGGTAAAATGTTAATTAGGATCTTCCTTTTGAGGGCCAGTCTTTCTCTCTCTGATAGGAAGACAAAGATATAGATATCTCTTTTCTTCAATTCATTAATCCCTTGTTAAATATATAAAGATATAATCAGATACAAGTACAAATCTATGTGTATACAGATACTGATTACTTATAATAAAGGAAACAAGGAACAAGTTAAATATGCTTCAAAATCGGTATGATTTTGGTTCTTTTTGGAATCATCCAAGGTAACACCCCTGGGCATGAAAGGCAACAACATATTGTTGAATAAATACGAAACAGCCATGCAGAGTATCACACTTGTAAAGTATCCTCCCATTCTCACAAATTAGCATATGTAGGTAAAGAGATTGATAGAAGGGAATTAATCAAAATATTAACAAGTTATCTCTGGGTAAAGGGATGTGAACACCCTACATATAGCTCTTATACTTGGACTTGAATTATCAGCAGTGAGAACGTGAGATCTTTAGATACAATGACAGCAACAAAACTAACGTGGTACGTTGTGAAAAGCAGCAGTACAGATCAAAAGGGGGCCTGGGAGTTAAGTGGAGCCATGTTGCCAAAAGGAGAGATTTCTCAGAGGGAGGAATTTAAGTGTGGCTCTACCTCAATATGGATGAAAGTATGTACCTTGTCCTTAAGTAGGGTGGCTTAAACTGTGTTTCTCAATGAAAGGCACTGATATAGCACACTGGACAGGGCCATTTTTCGTTATTTTGAATAGCCCCTGTACAGCAAAGTAGGAGGCATACCTGTCTCCACTACCAAGTCTTCGTAGCAACCCAGACATTTCTACACACTTGCAAATGCCCCCAGGCAGTTGAAAATCCCTAGCCTAGGGGTCTGACCACTCCTCCTGATTTATGGTTACCACAGGAACTAATTATAAAAACTAAGTTCTAAGAATAACTATAAAAGAAACAATGGGTCATTATGACATCTCATCAACATTTAGATCAACATACCATGTCACTGAAATAGTATTCTAAAGCCTTCTTCCTAGATGCTTCTGCTCCCTAATTTTTATCCTGCTTTTAACCTATCTTTAATAATTTTAAAACTTCTATCCTTAATCCTTTTAGCTCTATACTCACAATTACACATTTTTTAAAAACCAGATCTGAACTATATTTCTGACGTTTTATTATTTACAGATTAAACAGCATTTAATCACAAACGGAATTACTTTTAAATTTGTTGACACAGTTACATTTCACTGCATGAAAAAAGGGTGGGTGTCAAAAGAAAAGGTGCTATGGCATTGGGGGTTGATTAAATACACTGGAAGGAACTAGCAGACACACACAAAGTTGTACTCTACTGCATGAATTACTTACTCCTCCTCCTCCGTCTGCTCCAGAAACATTTAAGAATTAGGGACACATGGGAAGCTGGCCTTTAGCTATAAAGCAAAGTGGCCGTGGGGTGACATCAACAACAAAAAAATCGATATTTCTATGCCTTTCTTAACCAGTAACTGTTTCTACAGCCACACTACTACCATCCCAACTCGTAAATGAGGTAAAAATTGTACAGACTCCCATTTGTATTTCTTATCAACTCTCATAAATGTAAATTTATAAAGATTCTACCTCATAAGGAAGTATTTCAGTGGAATTTCAAGTACTACAAGAAGACTCTACAGCGCGTGGCTTACCAAGCATACTGCCCGCCACCAGGATATCGAAGAGCGTGTCTGCATAGCGACGATAATCTAACCTTGAGCCTGTGGAGTCCAGAAACTTGGCTACAGCTTCAAGGTCGTCACCAGCTTCATTAAGCCCCTGGACAAGTGTATCCCTGAAGACTGTGGGTTCGAATTTCTCTTTTTCATCTAAAATAAGTAAGTTACAAAATTATTTCTTTTACTAACACATCCGATTCCCAAATGCAACCATACATTTCCTTTGTTCATCATTCTTTACTTGACAGTGTGATTATTTAAAAGTTGGAAGACAACTAAGTTTTTCTGAAACCCCTTCTTTGAACATTTGTTCAATCAAATTATTTATTTCCTATTTAAAGGGGCCACAAAAATACGTTAACTCTATCTAGTACCTAATAACACTGATAACTGATCATTTCTGTCATCCACAGGCCACTGTAATCTATTAACCCTAACCACCTGAGAAAAAATAAAGTATAACAATCAAAACTTAAAATTTTCTTTGATTTAGGATAAAGAAAATGACGCAGGGAGAACCGCCTAAGAATAAAGGAGAATATACACATGAAAATAAAGATTAGGAGGGAGGAAATAAAGAGGGACATCTCTTTATTATTTGTTATTATTACTCATTATTACTCCTAGTATTGACATACATTAGTTTCGATTATCAATGTATCAATTATATAACTGACATATTAGTTTCAGATGTGCAGCAAAATGATTACCAACCAGAGTAAGTCTAGTTAACATCTATCACCATACGTAGTTAGAATTCTTTTTTCTTGCGACAAGAACTTTTAAGATTTAGCCTCCCAGCAACTTTCTATTATACCACACAGTATCAGTAACCGTAGTCACCAAGCTGCAATTCACATCCCTGGAACTTATTTATTTCATTACTGGAAGTTTGTTCCTTTTGACTACCTTCACCCATTCTGCCCGCCCCTCACTCCCTGCCTCTGGCAACCACCAGTCTGTTCTCTGTATCTATGAGTTTGGGGGTTTTGTTTTGTTTTGAAAGATTCCACACATAAGTAAGATCATATGGTATCTGTCTTTCTGTCTGACTTACTATCATAACGCCCTCAAGGTCTATCCATGTTGTCCCAAATGACAAGATTTCTTTCTCTTTATGGCTCAGTAATATTCTATTGCATATATGTATATACCACATCTTCTTTATCCATTCATCCATCAATGGATACTTAGGTTGCTTCCATACCTTGGCTATTTGTAAATAATGCTGCAATGAACACATGGGTGCCTATAACTTTTCAAATTACTGTTCTCATTTTCTTCAGATAAATACCTAGTAGTAGAATTACTAGATCATATGGTAGTTCTATTTTTAAAATTTTTAAGAAGATTTATTTATTTATTTGAGAGAGTGTGTGCATGGGGGAGGGGGGGTGAGGAGAGGAAGAGAAAATCCTCTAGCCGACTCCCTGCTGAGCGTGAAGTCCAATGTGGGCTGGATCCCAGGACCCTGAGATCATGACCTGAGTCGAAATCAAGAGTTGGCCACTTAACTGACTCAGCCACCCAGACGCCCCTTTAATTTTTTTTTTAAGATTTTATTTATTTGACACAGAGAGACACAGCGAGAGAGGGAACACAGCAGAGGGAGTGGGAGAGGGAGAAGCAGGCTTCCCGCTGAGCAGGGAGCCCGATGCGGGGCTCGATCCCAGGACCCTGGGATCATGACCTGAGCCAAAGGCAGACGCTTAATGACTGAGCCACCCAGGTGCCCCTAAATTTTTTGAGGAACTTTCATCCCGTTTTCCACAGTGGCTATGCCACTCTATATTCCCACCAACATTTCATGAAGATCTCCTTTTCTCCACATGTATATCCACACTTATTTCTTTTTACAAGATAAGTTATTCAAGGCACTTAAATATTTAATATATACCATGAACTATATATGTATATTTATAGCTTCAGAGCAGATGTTCTCAATCATTTTGGTCTCATGATCCCGTCACCCTTAAAAAGTACTGAGGATTCCAAAAAGCTTTTTTGTGTAAGGAGGTTATATCTATGGATATTTACTTTATAGAAATTAAAACAGAAAATTTAAAAATATTTATCAAATTAAAAAATAAATTAGTGTGAAGACAGGCTTTGTTTAATCTCTTTAATGCCTGGCTTAATAGCAAGAGAGATGGATTCCCTTAACCACTGTGTGCAATCTGTTGTGATATCACACATCATGTAGTCTCTGGGAAACCACCATACACCATGAGTGAATGTGTGAAAAGAGGCAAATAAAATCTTAGTTATTTTAATGGAAATAGTTTTGAGTTTGTAGAACCCCTGAAAGGGCTTCATAGGATGTAGGGATATGAATATATGGAGTTTCCTACCCTCAGCATACTCAAGAGAGACTTGTTGTGGAAGGTCAGTTTGGAGTCAGATCTTTTTTTTTTAATTTTTATTTTTTTTAGTAATCTCTACGCCAATGTGGGGCTTGAATATGAATGACCCCGAGATCAAGAGTCCCATGCCCCACCAACTGAACCAGCTGGGGGCCCCTGGAGCTAGATCATAAACAAAGCAAGGATCATACACTGTTGAAAAGAAGTGAAGATGACAAACCAGAGGTCAGAAGAGGCAGGAAAAAAAAAATGACTAAATTAAAGGTAAAGGTAGGATTCAATTCAAAGGACTTCACCTTCATCTCCCCTTTTAGAGAAAGAGTTTGGATGTGGAAAGGGAGGGGCAAAGGATGAACCAGAAACTTCACAAAAATCCCATCATAAATACCTTTAGAGAGATAAGTGGACACTGCAACTTTAAGAAAGGAGAAGGAGGAGGAAAAAGAAAGGAAGAATAAAATGCTTTTTTAAAAAAGAAGAAACATTTCATGAATAAAAGAGTTCTTGGAAATGGAAAGTATGATAGAAAAAGTCAAAAATTCAAGAGAAGAGCTGAGAAAGAAAGCTGAGAATATCTCTTAGAAACTAGAAAAAAAAGTCAAGAAAAAAAGACGTAGAAAATAGGAGCAAAAAAATAAGAAAAAGGGCACACCAGTCAAATGTCCACATAATAATTTTAATGAGAAATTTTCTTTTAAGATTTTATATTTTTTTAAAGTAATCTCTACACCCAGTGCGGGGCTCGAACTCACAACCCGAGATCAACAGTCACATATTCCACAGACTGAGCCAGCCAGGTGCCCTGAGAATTTTTTTTTTTTTTTTTAAGGAAAGAAATGATTTAAAAATTTCAAGAAAAGTTTTACAGAGTTGAAGGACATGAGTTTCTCAGTAAAGAGTTGTCTGCACACAAGGATTCAAAGCGGGCCCGTGATAAGATGCCAACGTTATCGCGTAATCTCAATGCTGGGAAAAAAGCAGCTGTCAGCAGTTTCAGGGGCAAAAACCCAAATCACATATAAACTATCAAAAACAGAATCACATTAAAGATTTTTATTCATTTATTTTTGACAGAGAGAGAGAGAGCACAAGCAGGGGGAGCGGCAGGCAGAGGGAGAAGCGGGCTCCCCGCTGAGCAGGGAGCCCGATGCGGGACTCGATCCCAGCACCCAGGGACCATGACCTGAGCTGAAGGCAGCCCCTTAACTGACTGAGCCACCCAGGCGCCCAGAATGACATTAAATTGCTCAACAGAAATACTAGAAACCAGAAGAAATTTCTTCAAAATTCTGACGGAAAACAGTTTCCAAACTCTTAAGTCCAGGGTTCAAACTGTCAGCCAAGCGTAAAAGCTGAATAAACGCATTTTGAGACAACCGAGGCCTCAAAAATGATGTTTCTCATACACTGCTTTCTAAAAAGCTGGCTTGAAGCAGACACTCCACACCAAAATGAGAGAAGAACTCATGATCACATGATCTTACTAAGTCATGAGATCCCAGGAAAAAGAGAAAAAAATCGGAGACAGGCCACAGGGGCGGCGGTGAAAAGACACTGCAAACATCTCACATCCTGAGCGGCACTGCTGGCCTAGAGGGCAAGCTGCTGGGGGGGGGGGGGTTGTCACTCTGATAGCGTAGTGTGCTATATGGCAAGAAGTCCTCAAGTTTCTGTATTTAAAGGTCTACCTAACGAAGGGAAAGCTTGGTATTGAGTAGTGTTAAGGCACTGACAAGAACAGCAACAAAAAAGGATAAATTATGACATTTAAATGATGAAACATTAACTTCAGAGACCAAATGATGTTCAGAAGAAGAAGAGTAATCTCGTAACAGTTGAACTGTGACGAGCCCGCACGAAGTCAAAGTAACAGAAACCTTGCACAGTGGTCTAGCTAAACCCGGCTACAGTAAAAAGAAAGAAGAGGTCTGCAGGTGGATAGGGCAGTCAAGAGAGCTCAATCCTCATCTTCCGTAGTATCAAGTGCAGATACAATACCTCCCCCAGAAAAGTCAGGAAATAACCATGTAAGAATGTTACTTGGTTATGTGAATGTAAAATTAAAAGAAGCATATAAAGAGCAGAAGGCATTCCTCTGGGGAGTCTACTTGCTGTTGCTATAACACGTCTTGCAGGATGGTTTGACTATTTAAAACACGGGACCCGCATACATTTAAAAAACTACTTGGACACCAGAATAGCACCTGTCTGGTTTGTACAGACTGCTTATACCGGTCTAGTAGGAAGGGGTGGGTTGTAAGGGGTTAACCCCACAGCATCAGAACCAAAGAATGGCATCCCCAGTACCGGTCAGAGTCACACAGGGTAAGATGTCATAAAGACAGGTGTAACTTGAACGCTCACGAACAAGAGATTTATCTCACGAGCAAGAGATAAAAGTCCTTTTGATGCCATAAGCAAAACATCATGCAGCCAAGAACATGCAAATGTTGACTGCAGGAAAAATATAATTAAGGTCTTGTTTTGTGGAGGGGGAGGACAAGAATGGGAACTCCAGAGGAAGAGATGAGAAGCTGGAGGAGGGGGGAGCTGTGACTACGCAGGACGAACTCAATGGCAAGCAAAGGACACTTCACCTCCCACTCCAGGTCCAGCCAAAAGGTAATTCTCCTAACCCCTTTGGCAGAAAAAGTTTTCTTTCCTGTTATATGAGAACATGAGAAGCGAAACCACCACAAGTTGTTTATTGTCTCGTAACCAGCTTTCAAAACCAACTGAGGCCATTCCTGCAACGGCACTACGGCACTACGACGTACTTGAGTGTTGACTCAGGCGGTAGAACAGGCTTTGATGATACGAAAATTGTAACTTTGAGGCATTGGAACATGAAAGTTAGTAAACAGGTAAAAAATCTAGACCGTGCTAAGAATTCACGCAGAGGACTTCGTTTTGAATCAGAGAGACAACTCAAAAACTTGTGTTTGTATAAAGCCCTTCATGTCAGTTCTATCTTCCTAAGAGGTCTGCCAAGGAGGAGGGAATGAGAGGCTGAAGACAGCACGTCACGGCTGAAGATACGTCAACAGTGAGTGATAATGCATTAGGTGAAGATGATGGCTTGTAGCTTGGGCATCCTAAGAAGTTGTGATGGCACACTAGGATTAATCATCGTTTTGCAGGCTGAAAAGAAGCTCCTATCTGCTAAGACAACATGTCTATCCAGAGGAATAAAAAATTCCCCAACAAGAAAATGGCAAGAACACTGATGAAAATTTGGGGAAACACGACAATATTTTACCCCAAAGTTCTTTTTTATCTGAAACTAGACATTATATGTACTTTGTAGTTCACTTGAGGACAGTCTAGCAAAAGTACTAACAAAATCCTAATGAAAATACGCTATTACTTCCTTGTGTTTCCATTTGACAGGTCTAACCTCCCTTGAAGCGGGAAGTATATAATTAGGGTCTCAAATTTATACTGTGTTGGTGAATCACAAGTGTGACACTAGAGAGTTAGTCACGCTGGCCCTTATACTGACATAGAGAAACAGGCTTATTTCTGATGCTCAAACATGCCTGTAAGTTATCTAAACACACTGCTTTCTCTGGGAACCAAAGTAACTGGTTAATATAACATTTTTCCTACCATTGAGTCAGTGATAAATAACAAAACCTACATCCTTTTTTGAATGTTGCTTAAGTATAGTAAACGAGTTAGAACAACCATGGGTTTTCTAACTATACACATACATGTATATTTACATATATATATATTTACAACCATACATATTTCAGCATTCAAAGGTTTACTAGATTAGTTGCTAACACTTATTATAAATCTAAGAGTGATTTAAAACTGCCAAGACAGATGAAAAGTCTCAGGGAGAACCCGGGGTATGTGGGTGCTCTGGATGCCTGTAGTCAGTCATTTTTTTTCTCTCCTATTTTCACTAATTTTAATCCAATTTCTCTACAAAATTTATAGGGAGGCGAGTTCAGTTATTAAATATTTCACTTAGCCAAGCATAACAATGGCACAGGGGAGAAATTTCCATTGTTTCAAATTCCCACAAGCCACACTAGAAAACATAATTTCTTTGAAGAAAATACCATAAATGTGTATATTTCATAAAGGAAAACAGTCTGAGTAGATTTCTAAATGATGTGTCCTATCATAATGTTTAATTTTGATGTTAAGCAATAGAAAATACATTTTTTTTTACTAACTTGGCATGGAAGAGCATTATCAGCTTTGCTAGCAAACAGTTTCAAACTGAAGACAGATCCTCAGAAGACAGCCTATGAAAATGACCTTGAAATAGCCTCACTAGATTTTTTTGCCTCAGCTCTACAAAACTGCCAACCATTTATCTCAAGTCAGCCCTATCATAATTGCAAAAGAAAAGCCAAAGCATGATAAATCATCAGGAGGCAATTCACTAGTATGAAGTGTAGAAAATGAGGCTGACTCCATTTTTCTCCCCCCAGCCAGCAGTCTAGCACAAAATAGCTCAAGCGCTGCTGAAATCCCCAACAGACCTGAGTTATATAAATCCCGATCAACTGACAAATAATATATATTTCTGGGTAGCTCTCTCTGAGTATTCCAGAAGCAGAAAGACACAGGCACAATCTTACCCACCGAATGAATCAGAGACAAACCAGCTCAGAATTAGAGAAAACCTTTCCAGTTCAAAACTGAAGAATGACTCTAAGAGCCAGTTTACTTGTTGAGTCATGTTGGCTGTTGTGCAATCCCCGGGCCCTCTCTTGGCTTTTCAGCTCAGTTACCGTGAATCAGTGTCACACGGATAAAGCTGTTCGTGCTGGGGATCCAGGTCTGAGATTAACACGTTCCCCCAGTGGGCAGGGGAAGGAGAACCTTTCTGCACCTCACAGTTGGGCATATATTAGATATTATCACATTACCGGGCTCAACAATACCTTAACTACAATTACGTTTCTGAACTGTATCGTTCCTTCCTGACGAAGTCCTTTTAAAATCATCCACATCATTTTTTTTTCCCCATGACTGCTTTTAACCATGAGATAATGAAGGCACATTGACTGTAATGCCTTGTATTGATATCAACATCTGGATTTCAATGAGGAAATGTAGTGGGGACACAATTTGTAAGACCAAGATGAGGACCCACATGAGGACCAAGCAGAGGGAGATGGCTCAGGCCATGTGCCTTAGTTTATAGGGATGAGCCAGGGATGAAAAAAAAAAAAATAGAAAAGGGGAAAGCACAAGACAAAAATACTGTACAAAATAACCACATTTTGCTTACTTTACAGTTTTTTAATTTTCATTTTTTAGTAGGAATGTGAATTCCCAGCGAGCAGCATTTACAGCTAAATTCAGCCTCCACTGCTTTCTAGTGACTCTCATGAACTCTTCTACTCCAAACCACTGATTGCATTCAGACTTCCTTTCCTTCTGCAAGGCCAGACTTGCTACTTATGCAGACACAGTACTTATGCAAGACAGCATAAGTTGCAGGAGCTACCTCAACATTGGAAATGCCAAAAGCCATATACTATGGGCTATCAATTCAACAATTTAGCACTTGGTGACCATTACCTGCCATCAAGCTTTGCAATCAGCAGTGAGGCCTCACAGAGATATCTAATTGTCATTCATCTTTCTGCATGATACTTTCTTAAATATGTTTCAGTTATTGTCCTCAGTGTTAGTCAACATAATAATTTCATATCATGTTTCCTTTTAAAAAAAGTTTCCTTACCACGTTACAGCTCAACTATTTTTTTTTAAAGTCCAAAAGGACTTCTTTATAATTATGCAAAACTGATTAAAAATTTGACAACTACTCTTTACACAGAAAGGATGGTAAGATGAACATAACATAAAAAGAAGTCACTCACACAAATAAATTTGTTACCAGTCATCAAATGGGGTCTATCACTACCTTTTCACAATAAAAGAATGTGAAAATATCCCGAGCTTTAAAGATATTTAGGCATGAAATTTAATTTGACTTCTTAAATTTTCAAGTGTAAAAACTCATCAATATCTCCTTCCCTATTTTACTTTTCTCCTAAGTTTTACCATCTTTGCTCTCAACATTTCCTTAAAAACAACAAAGAAAGCAAAACTCAAATACAAATGCCGGATGTCAAAAACAGTAGAGTTTATCTATTGTCTTCATAGCCTCACAGGAGAGTGAGGAAACCTTGACCAGACAGAATCATCCTCCTTTAGTAGATAAAGACACAAAGTTCAGACGAGTTAAATGACTTGTCCAAAATCAAACACGTAAAGAAGTATTCAAAGGCTTGAATGCAGAACTTCAGATTCTATATCCAGAGCTCAAAAGAACAGAACAAGGGAGGTTCAGTGGAAACAAGGATAATTCTAATCCTTCCGCAAATCTCCTAACTTGCTTAGAACTTCACCCGCTCTCCCAACCCCCATACACACGCAAACGCACAGCACAACCTTACCCCTTTTCCGAGTTTTGAACCGTTGGCCTGTTAGCACTGGCTTCTGATGCTTATTCATAAAATTTCTGAAAACAAAGAAAATAAAGATTATTTCAAATAAGCAGTTCACATAAAAATGTATGGCTAATAAGCATACGTTCCACCTCACTTATACTGAATATACTTTTATTTTTTTACTATTTTTTTTTAAAGATTTTATTTATTTATTTAACAGAGAGAGACACAGCGAGAGAGGGAACACAAGCACGGGGAGTGGGAGAGGGAGAAGCAGACTCCCTGCTCAGCAGGGAGCCCGATGCGGGGCTCTATCCCAGGACCCTGGGATCATGACCTGAGCCGAAGGCAGACGCCCAATGACTGAGCCACCCAGGCGCCCCTGAATACACTTTTAAAAGCAAGGTATAATTGTAACTGTTGAACTAGCAAAACTTTTAAAATTTAAGAATACCTAGTGTTGACAAGAGACATAGGGAAAACGACCACAGACATAAACTCTGACAGAGGGAATAAACTCCACGCAGTACTTTGGAGAAGCATTTGGTGAATATAAATATTTACACGTGCATAACCTGTAGTCCACAAATTCTTTCACTAGAAATTTACTTTGCCATTTTACCCACACAAATATGCATATTTATGCCTGTGTGCACTCGTGTAAGTGCGTGTGTACAGAAGGACTGAGTCCAGCACTGCTGAATAAAAACTTGCAAAGTTAGGGGTGCCTGGGTGGCTCAGTCGTTAAGCGTCTGCCTTCGGCTCAGGTCATGATCCCGGGGTCCTGGGATTGAGCCCCGCATCGGGCTCCCTGCTCGGCGGGAAGCCTGCTTCTCCCTCTCCCACTCCCCCTGCTTGTTTCTCTCTCTCTCTGTGTCTCTCTTTGTCAAATAAACAAAATCTTTAAAAGAACAAAAAACAAAAAAACAAAAAAACTTGCGAAGTTAAATGCCCATAAACAGCAGTCTGGTTAAATAAGTTCTAAGAAGCCATCAAATGGAAAGTTATGAAGCTTTCCAGAAGCATGAGATCTAAATGCAGTGCTACGTTTCTTGCCCTGGCTCCCTCCCCGATCACGTTTCGGCCATCTGTGTCCCTCCCCCTCCTTCACTGTGCCCCAGCCGTCCCGCTCTCTTCTTCCAATGTGCCGGAGAAAGCTGCCTCTCCTCTGGGAAGGATCTTCCCCAGCCATTCACATGGCTCACTCTCTGCCCTCACTCGAGCGCCTCCTTTTCAGAGAAGCCTTCCCTGGTCACCCCCACAAATGGTGTCCCTTGTCACTCTCTCCTTACCAAGCTTTATTTCTCTTCGCAGCCCTTAGTAGCACCTACCATTTCTCTATGATCTGTTTGCCCATGGTCCATTTCCCCCATTGGAATGTAACTCCCGCGTGAGTAGGGACTTTGTAGGTTTTACTCAAAGCAGTATCTTTAGTATCTAAAACAACACTAAGTAAAGAGTTTGCATGTAGTAAATAATTGTCAAATAAGCTATTGCACAGACATGGAAAGATGCTCAAGGCATACTGTTAATAGAAAAAAGCAAGCTGCATAAAAGTGTGAAGTGTAATTTTTTGGTTAAAAGGGGAACATACATAATATTTGCTTTTCTCTGCAAAGAAAATTTAAGATTAAATTATCTTCAAAAAAAAAAAAAAGTAAAAAAGAACCCGCTCTGTAAGACCTCTTACAAATTAAGAATAACCTTGTGGCATTAATATTATAACATGAAAATATATCCAGATTACCAAAATTATGAAGGCCACACAATTAAGAAAATGTCAAGCAAATTATTTAATTACCTTTCAAAGTTCTTTTTAAATTGTGATTTGAGAATGTCTAGATTTTTCCAATTAAGTCACCATTAAACAATCAAGAAAATCTGCTGTATCCGAGTAAACTATTTAATTATGTCTCAAAGTTTAAAAAGATCCTTAAGAACATATGAAAATGATTCTATTTATATACCCAAACTTTCCATACCATGAAAGAAGCAAATCTATTTTCTTATGGAAAGTAATCTATCACTTAAACCTTTAATCATAATTTAAAAGTGGAATGGATTAAAAAGAAAAGTAACACAAAAAGGATTTTCTGTTATGATTTAAGTAGAGATAATTTTCATCAATCCTATAAAGTGAACTTAATGTATCATGCTTTGAGCTATAAAGGTGACTAAGCCAGATACCATGTCCTCAAGGAGCAGAGAGCCTAGAGGAGATAAAATCCACAAACATTTCCAAACAATAGCTGTACAGATCTAGAACAAAGGGCAGAGAACGTGATCACTCTATGTGTGGGGGGCAGCAGCTACACACTGAAATAGTTACAAATGCAATAAACTTAATGAAATCTCATTTGATGGAAGTTGGAAATAGAGCTTCTAATGCATTATTTACAGTCACTACAAAACTCTTTCATTCAGAAATTTTCTTGTTGGCATTTTCAAAAGATTCACTCTGGATAAGCAAACATTTCATTGGGGTACTCATAATGGATGTGTGTGTTTCTTGTTTCTATACCTCCCCAAACACTACAAATATTATATAAAATATTTTCCTGTGCCAGCAAAGAAAAAATACCTGTTAAAGAGTTTAGGTCTCATACTGAGGTATTATAAAAACAAAAACAGACTCCAAGTAGTCTGAAGCTTTTCTAGCAGGTGAACATGCTGCAGTTACTCTTTGCTAAAGATGTCTCTATTATGGAATCAATAAAAAATATTTTAAAAGTGTGAGCCTTCTCTAAAAGTTTTATTTTACAGTCCGGAATATAAACTCATCGAATTCTCTAACTCTACCGTAGCATTTTGTTGCTGTTTTTCTGCTAATGAGGAATTACCACAAAACACAGCCTACCGATCAGAGAATCACCCTATTTTAAAAATCTTTAGCTCCATTTGTAATCTCTTCAGTTCTAAACACAAAAGTTTGTTTCTTCATGGTCTCTTCTGTGACCTTATTTTGCATACGCTCCGTATACCACAGGTGGAAAACATAGTAACATTTAAACAAAAAAGCATACAAAGATTCTGACAGACACAGGAGCAAAAATTAAAACAAACACCAACAGCAACTCACCTACTGGTATTGAAAGACTAAATGAAGATACTCTGTTCACCAAAAGTCTCTATCGCTTAGCTGTTACTATTTAGAGCAGAGGCTTGGCTTGTCTCTAAATTTAGCCCTCCCAGCTACATTATAATCTGCTTCATAAGGCACTCACTGAAGCCCTGGCGGGAGAGAAGCAAGGGCACTTTGAATAAGAAACTGTGCTAGTTTCAACCTGGGAAATTAACGGAGAATAACAAAGACCGTTCTATTAGGCCAGAAGAATAACAAAGACGGTTCTATTAGGCCAATGTCAAATGTTTATTTTGATTAGATTGCACTACAATTCACAACTTGAAAACTAACTAAAAATACATACACATAGGTATGTATAGATGCATATGTTAAATCAGTTTAACAGAATCCTCAGAGACAAAACTTATCTGGGGTACAGCCTATATATGCATTCAAAAAACTATCAGCCAAACACACAGACAAAATAAAAATAAGCTCATGTCCCCCCCCCCCATGGAGTGGAAAAGCTCCATGGTTTAAAATAGTATTACAAGAAAATTGTATGCAAAATGGTAAAACACGACTGGATTGAAATATTTCCCATGTCATTTCAGAGACTAAATTTCTTGGCTATTCCACAAGAGAAAAGACAATAAAATATTAAAAAGATTCAATCAATCAAAGTTCAAAACTAAGCACCCTATTAATGAAATAAACATTTTTTGAATAAACTAAACTGAAAGGCCCAACTGAAAGATGTCTCGGTTTAAAATATAAGAAATAAAATTTCACCCATCTCCTGTGTTACTATTCTTACTGTCCTGGGTCCTTTGCAGATTCTATCTCTTACTCCCAACTCACTCTGGGCCCAAGTGTGACAATGCGCCAGCAGCTCAGATGGGTTGGCCTCTTGGCAACTGTGTACTAATTCTGCCAGTTGCCCAGCACACCTTGAGTAGATTGACACGTTGTGTGTTGTCTTGCCTGTTTTTTCTTCTTTAATTCCCTTCATTTTGGAAAGAATCTGATCTAGCAGGGAAGGACTGATTTTCTTGTTCCTATAAGGGGATGACAGTTCTGGTCTGGATAATCTCTAAACTGAAAATCTGCCTTATATCATATGTTATACTGCTAATATATACATATAACTAGGCTATTCAAACCACCTCAACTTTATGAATATGCACATGCTAAAGTGGGGTCACAATCATCTCCTATAAAGGGATAAAAGAAAATAGTTTAGGTGCTGTGAGCCACATGGTATCTGTTCCAACTACTGAGTTCTGCTGTTAGAGCCTGAAAGCAGCCATAGACAATATGTAAACAAGTTATTCCAATAAAACTTTATTTACAGAACAAGTGGTGGATCAGACTGGGCTCTCAGGCTGTGGTTTGCCATCCCCCATTCTAAAGCCATGTATTCAACAGAACTGTCTGTGATGGTGGAAATGTTCTGTATCTGTACTGTCTAATATGGAAGCTACTAGACACATGTAGTCCTTGAGCCCTTGAAATGTGGCTAGTGTACCTGAGGAATTTAAATGTATTTAATTTTCATTAATTAAAATGAAAATAGGGGTGCCTGGATGGCTCAGTCATTAAGCGTCTGCCTTCGGCTCAGGTCATGATCCCAGGGTACTGGGTTGGAGCCCCGCATCCGGTTCCCTGCTCGGCGGGAAGCCTACTTCTCCCTCTCCCACTCCCCCTGCTTGTGTTCCCTCTCTAGCTGTGTCTCTCTCTGTCAAATAAATAAATAAAATCTTTAAAAAAAATGAATGAAAACGGCCAATATGGCTAGTGGTTACGTTGGGCAACCCAGTTCTAAAGAATTCATTATGGCCCAACGCATTTCATTTTGATAAAAGAGGTGAAAATACATCCAAAGAATAGAAAGTTTTTAATTAATTTTTTTTTAATAAAATGGCTCCGAGGAGCATTTTGCCCGAATTTCAAAACCAGGTGGCTATCGTGAGAAAGAAAAAAAATACCAAACTTCAAAGCAAAACT